TTATTGCTTTTTGGTGCGCCATTATTCATTTTTATCTTCTGCTTTACCATACTTATATAAACTTCTTAGATTAGGAATCTGCTAAGTTACAATCTATTTTATATATATAGAAATTACCATCTGGTTTATTGTTTGGAAAATTGACATGCCAGTCCCTTTCCTTTGCAGGCCAATTCACATTATTTTTCTATAATTGAGCAGGTAAAGTAAAATTTTCTTCTTAGATAATACAACTGTACATTGTTCTTATATTTGACTTCTAATCAGAATTCTTTGCTAATTGTGCGATTAATCGACATAATCGACATAACTTGTTTATTGTATATAATTTAATCACCATTATATGTGTAATTTATCTTGAATACTATTATGTATGAAATAATTCTCTGTTTTTTGTGTATCATGATGAATTACGATTTATCTACGAAGTAGTGAACACCATATTCAAGTTGTCGTGCTTTATTTTTAAGCCCCAAACTCTGGTTTACTTGCTGTAAATCAAAATGACAAGGATAGAACATAGGATCCTCTAATCAAGACGTATTATCTTTTTCATTCAAGAAGTAGATGTTACTTTTCTCAGAAAGAGGACAGAATGTCAATGAATGGGAATTTATCTTTTTCTTTGTGGGGTGTGGGGAGAGTGAGAGTTCTTAAATCTTACAGCTTATGAATCTTTGAATGTTCACATATTCTTGCTAATTGAGGTAGCATTTACATTGAGGAACAACAAGCTTTTGTCTTCTTTTATCATAAAAAAGGGGCGCTTATATTCCAACTAGTATGCTTGCTATTTCCATTACTTTTACTGAATTACCTTCATTGAAACCAGATGGCAGAGGGGAATATGTGGTTGAATGAGACCATTGGCGTTGTTCCGAAGAACTCTTGGGCAATCGATCCATTTGGTTATTCACCCACAATGGCATATCTTCTTCGTCGCATGGGCTTTGAGAACATGCTAATACAGAGGACCCATTATGAGCTGAAAAAGGAACTTGCTCTGCACAAAAATCTAGAATTCGCTTGGAGACAGAGCTGGGATGCTGAAGAAACTACTGACATTTTTGTGCACATGATGCCTTTTTATTCTTACGATATTCCACATACTTGTGGACCAGAGCCGGCCATTTGTTGTCAATTTGATTTTGCCCGATCACGTGGTTCTTTTTATGAACTATGTCCCTGGAGACAAGATCCTGTTGAGATCAACAAGGAAAATGTTCAAGAGAGGGCAATGATGTTACTTGATCAGTATCGAAAGAAATCAGTGCTATTTAGGACAAATACCCTTCTCATTCCTCTTGGTGATGATTTTCGATACGTTAGCACTGCTGAAGCCGAGGTTCAGTTTAAGAACTATCAGTTGTTATTTGATTATATTAATTCCAATCCAAGTTTAAATGCTGAGGTAAAGTTCGGTACCTTGGAAGACTACTTTCGAACTCTTCGTGATGAGTCTGAAAAGATAAATTATTCTCTTCCCGGTGAAATTGGCTCCAGTCTGGTTGGTGGTTTTCCCTCTTTGTCAGGTGATTTCTTCACTTATGCTGATAGACAGCAGGACTATTGGAGTGGCTATTATGTATCTAGGCCTTTCTTTAAGGCGGTTGATCGTGTACTCGAGCGAACACTTCGTGCTGCAGAAATGATATTAGCTTTATTGCTTGGTCCTTGCCAGAGATCTCAATGTGAGAAGTTGCCTATTGGATTTTCTTACAAGTTAACAGCTGCAAGAAGAAATTTGGCTCTTTTTCAGCATCATGATGGTGTCACCGGTACTGCGAAAGATCACGTAGTACGCGATTATGGCGTTCGGATGCATACTTCTTTACAAGACCTGCACATTTTCATGTCTAAAGGAATGGAAGTACTACTTGGAATTCGCCACGACAAATCCGATCAGAATCCTTCACAGTTTGAACCGGAACAGATGAGATCTAAATATGATTCCCAACCTATACATAAAGCAATCAATCTTCAAGAAGGAACTTATCAATCTGTGGTGTTTTTTAATCCTCTAGAGCAGACAAGGGAAGAGGTTGCAATGATTATTGTCAACAGGACAGATATTACTGTATTGGACTCGAACTGGACATGTCTTCAAAGCCAGATTTCTCCTGAGTTTCAACATGATAAGGCTAAGCCTTTTACTGGCAGTCATCGTATCCACTGGAAAATTTCAGTTCCTGCCTTGGGATTGCAAACATATTATATAGCAAATGGATTATTTGATTGTGAAAAGCCAAAACCAGCCAAACTGAAATTCTCCTCAACTTCTACCTCATTACCTTGCCCTACTCCTTATGTATGCTCTATGGCTGAAGGCGACGTGGTTGAAATCCAGAACCAGCACCATTCACTCGTATTCGATATCAAGCATGGTTTGTTGCATAAGATAAGTAAAGATGGTTCACGAAGTGTAGTAAATGAAGAAATTGCAGTGTACTCGAGCTGGGGTAGTGGGGCTTACCTATTCAAACCAACTGGTGCTGCTAAATCTATCATTGAAGCAGGTGGATTGACCGTGATCATCGAGGGTGCTCTGATGCAGGAAGTTTACTCTCATCCAAAAACAGGATGGAAGAAATCCCCCATCTCTCATAGCACCCGTTTATACAGTGGGGGCAATACAAATCAGGAGCACCTCGTTGAGATGGAATATCATGTAGAGCTAATTGGCAAGGAATTTGATGACAGGGAGCTGATAGTCAGATACAAGACAGATATTGACAACAAGAGGGTATTTTATTCTGATTTGAATGGCTTTCAAATGAGTCGAAGAGAGTCGTACGATAAAATCCCGCTGCAGGGAAACTATTATCCAATGCCTTCTTTAGCATTCATGCAAGGATCCAATGGTCAAAGGTTCTCTGTCCATTCTAGGCAGTCTCTAGGTGTGGCAAGCCTTGGAGATGGATGGTTAGAGATTATGCTCGACCGTCGTGTGCTCAGGGACGATGGACGTGGCTTAGGACAAGGAATAACAGATAATCATGCAATGAATGTCGTTTTCCATATCCTTGTTGAGTCTAATGTTTCATCCATAGTAAATCCTATTCCCAATTACTCTCCTTTGAGCCCTTCTCTTCTTTCCCACTGCATTGGTGCTCGCTTGAACTATCCCTTGCACGCATTTATTTCCAAGAAACCACAGTCTTCATCCGTGCATCCACCCCCAAGATCTTTCTCTCCTTTAGCAGCTCCTTTGCCATGTGACTTGCATATTGTCAGCTTTAAGGTTCCTCGTCCTCTGAAATACTCGCAGCAATCGCCGAAAGATCCACCATTTCTCTTAATGTTTCATAGGAGACACTGGGATTCATCATACTGCAAGACAGCCAGATCAAACTGTACTAGGTTTGCTGATGAGCCTTTCAATATATTCAACACGTTCAAGGGGCTTGTGGTATCGAACGCACGGCCAACTTCATTAAATCTGCTGCACGAAGACACAGAAATGCTTGGATATAATGATGAACTACAGCCTGGGGGGGATGATGCTCATGAAGGGCAGCTGCATATCCCTCCCATGGAAGTAAGAGCTTACAAGTTGGAACTGACGCCACGTTAATAAAACGCAGAAATGCCAGTTTTTGTAGTTTTAACAATGCTGATAACCTCCAAATGAGCATCCATCCATTAAGAACAGATTCCTGAGTCCGAGATCATCGATCAAGCCGTGATATCTATCTAATGCCATGTAAAACATACCAGAATCAGAGGCTTGGCTTGCCAGACTATTTCTGGAGACGGGTGACGATGACGGTTTCTTCTTCGATCTTATTGAACTGTCTGGTTTCATTCTCTGGAAGGTAAGTTGATTGGAATCATTGAACTACATATTTTTGGTTTACCCTCTTTTCAAAACTGCACATTTGGATGATGATGGTGTTTAGCAATAGATAGCAGCAGATTAGTTTGAAAGTAATGATCGGAACTACAACATGGTTTCGTGAGTTACAATTTTTGGATTCTTCTACAATCTCCATGGGATTAAGTCGAAGTTGATTCAACTGTTTAACTTTGACCCAATGGATTCTTATTTTTTTCTTGTAATTTCGGAGGAAAACTAAAGAGAATTATTTTTCAGGCCTGATTCACTTGGTGAAAATGGAATTGAGATAAAAAATGGCACTAATTGTTTGAGTCAGTTTCGCACATGGGTTTGATTTTAAGCCATGAGGTTAGAACGTAGAAAAGTTCCACATAGTTCATGGGGATTGGATCAAGTTTTTAACCTTTTTACTTTTTAGTTCCCCTCCACCTCAAGACAGCCTTGGAAACTGTTTCCGGATTATCTATGTATTGTGGTATCATAAATTTGTGTCGTAAATCTACTATAAATCTATGTATCCGAGCATAATTGAATGTATAAACCATAATATATTGTAATTTTAACCGTTCAAAGTTTTAATTCTTCATTTCCATATTTCTTGAATGAAAAAAAAAGAGACAAATTCATGTCCCAATATTTGAAAGAGAAAGTGAGACACACTTCCTACTTTTGACTACTATATAGTCTCTTTTAAATATTTATTTACGATCAAAATCAATATAAAAGACATGACTTTTTAAAGATACTTAGAAACTCTAAGAAAGTTAGTGTAATTTTTATTTTAACCGTCACAAAAATGTATACTATATACGTGGAAACGTATACTATATACGTGGAAACTTCCATTTTAAAAATTTTGAGGAAAAACTCAAAAAGGAGTCTAAATAGGATAATAAAGGAGACCAAATAGGATAATATCTACCAGTAGTGTGCTTAAACCGTTGGAATATATAATGTATATAGGACCACGATATATATATATATAATGTACATATAGTGACCAATTATATAGTATATTTAACAACATAGATATTCTGATCGATATGATTAAAATAAATAAATGAAGTCAAGGTGTATGGAGAATGATCTGGAAAGAAACCACTCTGCATACAAAAATAGAGAGAGAGAGAGAGAGAGAGAAAAAAGGCTTAAAATCATATGAAAAAAAGAGGCAAATTGGCAGTCACTGATATTGATATCAAAACATCTTGCAATAATATATAGGATTGAACTCAATATATATGGCAAATTGAAATTCTGGAGGTTAAGAAACTAATGAACCAGTGGCCTGAAATCAGACTCATGAGTGGCAAAATTGCTTGTAATTTTAGTACAGAGAAAGAGAAGAGAATGGTGAATAGTGTAAAAAGGAATGGGTTATAAAATAATCTCCTCAAGTACGCTAAGGTTGAGGGTTTTATTTGGGAGGACTATGCTGTTTGTAACCACAACTTCGTCTTCAACAATCACAGCTTCTCCTGTAAAACACACCAAAATTTCCTTATTGCCCACTTTAATTTCAAATCCACAAGCCTCAGTTGGATACCAATTTTTTCTTGTCCATAAACCGAGCTCTTAGTGAGAAAAAATTAGTAAGAAAATAGAAGTACAACAAGTCGAGGATACGTACCGAGGATTGTAATTCCAAGCTTATCATTGTAGTCCCCATTCGCCTGAACCAAATAAGTTCCGTACACAACTCAGCCTTCGAGTTTAAAAGCACTAAATTCTTTTTTCTTTTGAATGAAAGGATTCAAACCTCTAATCTTTTGATCGAGGCTTAACGAGTGGAACATTATTTTTTGGCTATCTTTTCTTGTTTTCTTTTAACGTGTTCTTATAAATGATCTAGTTTTTAGGAAAAATGAAGATAATTCTATTCAAATCACAGATCCTCTTAATGAGGCTAAAAGAACTATAAAAAGATTCACCAAATGGATGAAGAAGTTGCAGGGTCCAAATGAAGCCAACAAGATCTGGAAAATAAATAAAAGTAGACAAGCTACAGATAAAGGGAACTGTTCATCGACTCAAAGGCCCTACTTTCATTGTTTAATATTCAGATTAACCATCTATAGAACCCAAAGTAGACTAAAAACATAAGAACAGGATAGTATTAAGTTTAGTGCACTTGCCTGGACACGTGACCATTTCCCGATTGATGACTTCCATCCAACAATAGAATTTATGACAACAGCATTTTCCTGTCAAAGAGAATGGCATGATTTTCTAATTTTAATGTGAAAGAAATGTCGTATTATTGTTATCCATGATAGCTAAATTGTTTCATTACCATAATTTCAACATCATCCAAGATGATGCAACTTATAAGCCTCACACCAGCAGCCACGCGAACATTAGCAGAAATAGAGACATTGGGGCCAATCTGTTCAGAAGGGCAGTTAAGAGTGGGTCAAAAGAAGACCGATAAACTACTGTTATAAACAAGACTTATTCATGGTAGCCACCACAATATAGTTACCTAAAGATGTAGAAAAGATATATATTCTTTTAACTTCCTTACGTAACATTTAATAGTGTATAAGTGCGGCAACATTCAGCCATATTAAATAACTTCTTTAATAGAAGAACTGAGAAATAGTGTGAAGTTCCATGAAAGTACGAGGTTAATTATAATGCAATAGTATGGCCAATAAATTAGTTATAATTATGATAATTTTCTTACTAGAATTGCTGTGAAAATACACCAATAAGAAATCAAATTACATTTATTAGATACAAGCAATGTTGTTTAAATTAAAATAGTCCTCAGTGGCTTAAGCCTGAGGCAACAAAAGAAAATTCCCAAGGCATACAATAGAAAAATTGAGATGATCTTTTTTAATACATACAAGAGTTAATGAAAAAGTTTTTTTAAAAAAGAATTAGAGGTCTTTTGAAAGATTCTTTAGAGAAAACAAGGTTTTAAAAGGATATTTTTAATTTCTCAATAAATTCTTTAAATTCAGCCAAAATGCACTAGGGCATGTGCGCCTTAGTTAAAATGCCTTGCTTCTGTAGGGAGGCACCCTAATTTGGTTTTTTGTAGAAGCGCACCAAGGCGATGCCAACGGTTTCGGAAACAAGAGTTGTAAGAAAAACTGACTAAGGATGAGATGAGAAGACCAAATAAACAGACGATAAGTGTAATAGTGAATTTTGGAACTAAAATTGAACTAGCAAAGTAAAAAGAAAAAAAAAATATACATATATATATATGGATAAGCTTATTGATTGAGAAGAAATTACCTTTGCAGTGGGATGTACTTTTGCTGATGGATGTATGTAGACATCGCCAATAATAGTAGCAGTCCTGGTACCATTTCCACCAGCCAAAAGATGGGGAGAGGTTAATTGAAACTGAGCAAGATAAAGGCCCGAACACTTCAAAGACATCCTGCAATGTTAATAAAGATTCAGAAGGCTTGGAATAATATAATAATTTACAAATAACTACAACAGAGAAAAGGCCCGAAAGGTCGGGAGACGATGAATGCCAAAGTGGTTACTCTACCCTGGAGTCTTGATTTGTTCCCAAAATTCCATGGTCTCATATGTATATAAGCGTTTCTTTCCAGCAAGGGGGGATAAAATATCTTGATCTAATCTCACAAAGTCTGTTGGCAGGTTCCTGTTGAAAGAAATATAATGGAAAAGAAAAGGTTACAAAAGCAAGATCTGTTAAGAAACTATCGAAGAGAATTATAATTAAAAAGCTAACTCATGTACTCAAAATCTAACTAGTAAGAGTTTATAAACATGAAACTGATCATTGACACCCAAATCAAACAATTTTTTTTAAAACATCTAACAATGTGCATATTGGGTATTGCACTTTTGTATAACATTGAGAGATTTTCAAAATTTGTAGGCAAAAACAGATGACGTGGTGAGTAGCTAACCTTGTCGCAGATTGTAGAGCTTCAAAGCTGGAGACACGTCGTAGATTTGCTGCAATGAATAAAAATAATTGATACTCGATATTTAGCATTCTAAAAAATATTGGGGAAACTATATGTATTATGCAAAATTTTGTAAATACAAGAGTTAAAATAAAGTTAAAAAAGTATGGCATCAGTTTACACTGCTACAACCTCTGCCTTCCCGATGAATCGAGACATCTTGAATGACACCAAAAATTTCCGAGGTAAATACATATACACCACAGTTTATTAAATCACTCACCTGCAATTAATGAAAAATCAGTCTTTAAGAACATAGGTATTGAAGAACTTGGACAACTGATTAGGTTTGATAAACTTTAAAAAAAAAAAACGCAGCACATCGTACAAAAGTTTCAGGTTTCTCTGTGTAATGCAACAGCTCATTTGTGACCGGATCAGCAACCAGTGCACCAAACTGATTAGCAGATTCGGCAGAAACCTGTACGGGGAGTCAAATACGAGCATAAATCCAACATTCACTGCACTAAAATAAATATAATGTTACAGCATGTTTTCTTTTTAGCTTCATAACATGTTCTTTTGAAAGCCATAAATCATGTACCGACCTTGTTTACTAATATAGTTCCCATCCCACCGTATCTCTTATGTGCCTCTGTAGGGTAGAAAATAAGAACACCACTTTACTATGAATACTCAAGTAAACAGGAGAGGAGAAAAAATCGGTTCCTACAAAAGATTACAAGTTATGAAACTCACCAAGCATGTCTGGAAGTGGAAAATTGCAGCAAACATCACAATTTAATAGAAAAATGTATGACTGCAAAACATAACCAAACACGTGAGAACTTAAATCGCAGTAGAAAATGTCATAATGCCAGAGGAATCATAATCATTAACATAGAGCATAGAGGGGAGGTCAAATGCATCTATACCGTGAAATTGGTTGCGTCTATTTAGTTTATGTTATTTAGAAATTTTCTAATAAGTTTCTAAATATTTAATTGATTTGTGTAGGATATTAAATCATAGATAGAAGGCCACCATAAACTCAACTCATTCCCTCTTATTTTTCTAAGGCTCTTATGACCATTTGGCGAACCCATGATGGCTACGATTTCCTAAATTTTCTAATTTTGTATCTAACATATTCTCATTGATAAAGATTATGTTTGACATATCACCACAAGATCGAACTTTGTAAATGTCACATAAACTAATAGTAGGAACTTGTTAGACACAAAATTGAAAGTTGCATATTAGATTTTAGAAAAATTACAGGAACTAAATACATAATCTAAGATCTTAAAGATCAAACTTAGTAGTTTAGCTGACAATTATACACAAAGAAGTTCATTCCTCGCAGACTGAGAAGTGCTAAGACGGTCCTACAACTCCATACAACAGGACAGGACATGAGTAACAGACAGAGCAAAGATTACAAACCGGGCTGTCTTCCAAGATAATATCTCTGAAGTAATAAATTCCTCCTGCCGAGCCATGTGGTTTATCCTCCTTCAAGTACCTAAGGCCAAACACAATCAAACAAGCTCTACCACCTCAGAACGATACAATTACAAGCGATAACTAACTCGAGTTCATTGGATTAGCAGCAGTCACCTCACAGGCAGTCTCAACTCATTGGACAATGAAGAAACGTAAAGAGCAAATTCCCTCTCCTCATAAAATCCAATAAGAAAAATTTGAGCTAAATTCGGTATCTACAAACACTCCACAATTCAATGTTCATCATGTAAGTTCACATCAGGACTAAGCAAGAATTAAGATTCAGCAGAAAACTAACACCACCACAACTGTTTCACTTTCAATCAGGCGAAAATCTAACCCGTTTGCAAGCAGAAATAGGATGATGAACCATCGGTTGACCAGCCAGAGGGAAGAGAGGCTTCGGAGTATTGAATGAAAGAGGCCGAAATCTAGTACCTGCAGAAAAACACACAAACAATAAAATCAAGTAGTCAAACAGAAGAGGAACTTTTTCGAATCACAAGAAAACAAATCGGAAAAGCGAAATTCCGTTCGTACCTTTAGTTGGACCGCCGACCATGATAACAGCAACCACTTTCTCCGAGCTCTCCATACTGAAAAGAAAAAAAAAAAAAAAAAAAACCTAGATCCTGTGCTTCAAATCTGCAGGTTTTAGGTTAGCGATTGAAGCTCCGCATTTGACTGCAAATCGATTGAAAAAAGCGCTCAGAATTGGTGGATTTGATCTTTGGTGGAGTAGGGAAGAAGGAAAGTGAAGTGACGTTCCAAATCCCAATCTTCTTCACTTTTTTAAATTTTAGTTCGTAGAGAAACAGATCTGAAATCAAAGCAACGCTGCCGTACGTTACGTAATTGATAATATCTATTTCATTCATTATACGAAAATTTGATGGGGGCTCCATTTTTTTTTTCATGTTTATTATTGTTTTAGAAAAATAGTTAATTTAAAATTTTCATTTTTTAATATAATATTTATTAAAAAAAAATCATATTAGATCAATACAAACACCCTGCTCTACTGACCTAATTTATAAAAATTCAAATTTTAATATTACATTTTAACAATTAAAAATCAAAATTAACTAATTTATTTTTTTCTTTAGCTAATTTTTTTTTGTTTTTTAGATTTTATTAATATACTAAACATAAATTTTAAAATTATTGGAATCCAAATACTTCTTAAATATTTTTAAAGTTAAATAATATAAATACCTCTCAAGTCTAAATTTTGTACATTATTTAAAAAAAAAATACCAATTTAATTTTAATAACTATTGTAAAAGGTTTAAACATACTTCTACTATTAGTATTATATTTAAAAAAATACTGCACAAAATTTAAAATAGCACTAATACCATCTTCATAGATTATCTTCATAAATCAACCAAAGTTTATTTAATACACTAAACTCAAATTGAAAAGTATTTTAAAATTTATGGGTATTTTTAAAACACTTTTCAATATTTTCTAAACCATTTTAAAATTCGAGCGGAAAAAAAGTATTAACTTTTTCCATCCAGTAACACTATTTTTTTAAAACTTTTTTTAATGGTATTTTTTTTAGTATAATACGGCTAACGTTATTAGAAACTTAATTTGTTAAGTTTTTTTTTATATATATATATAGTTTAAATGGCTTTAAAATTTTAAAATTGAACTTAAAACTTTTTTTTTTGTTCGACCATGTATAATATAAATTTAAACTTTTTGAACTTTGAGATAGTTGTATAATACATAAATCGTGGAGATATTATCATATTTATTTTTGTCTTGATTTTTTTATTTCAATAATTATGGGGTGAGATATTAAACATAATAAATATTTTAGTCTCCCTAATTGAAATTGTTGATTAAATTGTAGCATATTTTAATTTGAGTTTAACGTATTAAATAGACTTTGGTTGATTTAGCACGATATAATAAATGTATAAAGAGTTGGTCAACTCTTCATTAATTACTTTGATAAGTAAATACTCTTAAAATGGCGTGGAAGATTATAAGTAAAAAAATGTTATATTTGTAAAAGAGACTTAAAAAATGAGTTTAAATTGCACGTCTAATGGGCAACTACTCCCCTTTATAGTGATTTCATATCAAATCTAATTAAAAATTCAAATATTTTCTTAACAACAATAAAATTTATTATAGAGAAAATAGAAACAAATTTCAAAAATCTTGAACAAGTTTCAAAACTCCGAAGTAATTTAGAGTTAAAAAGATTATCGTTTAAAATACAAATTTAACTTGACATTCTAAACCGATTAACAAGTATGCAGATTCGAACCTTTGAGCTACGCTCTTGTTGACTCGTATTTCGTGTTCTTCCTGTACATCCTGCAAAATACATTGAAACTAATCTACCATTTGAGTCAGTATAAGAGTGTAGAACAGGGATTCCACAAAGAGCCATCACTCTCTGGTTCTGCCTAACATGAACTATATCTCCTCCTTGAGCTCGACAAGATGAACCAATGCAGGATCTTCACATTTCATTTTCAGAGCTAGAAGAGGGATGGATAATTTACTCGACTCTGTACATGTCGGTATAAGTCCATCAGCTGGCATTGTGATTATGAGTATCAAGAGCAACCAGATCGTCCAATAATCACACGAGATGACGAAAACAATGTCGAAAGGAAGCTTGTCAAGATACTTGCGGATTATACTCCAGCTGCAATGTCAAGTCATTGATTCCAGCATCATGCAGTATCTGTTCGACCTTTGCCTTTGTAGAAATCTTGTCAGTTTCGGTTGAAACGTGAAGCTGGAGCGTTCCCACAACGTCGGTGTTAGTGAAACTCCAAACGTGCAGGTTCTGAACATATTGGACTCCTTGTATCTTCATAATTTCATTCACAGCCTCTTTTAGATCCTGCTCGTGCGCCCTAGGAACTCGTTGAAGCAAGATTTCAGCAGAGTTTCTGAGTAATGGAATAACTGAAGCAATGATCATTATAGAAATAAATATGGAACAAGCTGGATCAGCAACTACCCATCCCTTGTATTCGATCAAAAGGGTTGATATAACAACGCCGACGCTTCCCATGGTGTCGGCCAATACATGTAAAAATATCCCTTCCATGTTGTGGTCAATGTGGTGATGGTGGTGCTGGTGGTGCTTCTTCTGATGTACCTTCATCTCAGCAGGCAGTCTATGTGAACTTTCAGAAACACCATGAGAAACGATCCTCGGCATATTGGTTTCGACCTGAGAAAGATGGCTGTGTTGGTCATGTTCATGATGATGGTGAGAAAGATCATGATGGTGAGAAAGATCATGATGGTTCGTATGGTTGTGATCTTGATGACAATCATGGTGGTTACTGAGGTGACTTTCGCTACAAACTTCGACATGACTGTGTTCATGATGGACAGTTGCGGAACTTTCACGACATTCCTCGGTGACAGATATCTGATTCTCATGCTTCCTACAGCTATCATGTTCATGCTTGTCACGACGGTGAGAGTCTGCGCACGAGTGCGAGTTCATATGAGAATGTGAATGCGAGCATGATCCTAATCCACCATGGGCATGATGATGCTCTTCATGAAAGAATACTAAACCTACTATATTCACAACCAGTCCTCCAATGGAAACAGTCAATAAGCTGTTAGTAGAGATCTCCTGTGGGTCCAAAATTCGCTCGAACGACTCCAATACAATGAGCGCCCCAACCAAAACCAGGAAAACAGCATTAGCGTAACCTGAAAGAATCTCAAATCTCCCTCGACCATAGTTGAATCGATTGTTCGCAGGCAAACGCGAAATGTACGAAGCATACAGTCCAATAGCCAAAGCAGCACAATCAAACAACATATGGCAAGCATCTGATATCAGCCCAAGACTATTGCTCATAAAACCAGCAACAAATTCAACAACCATATAGCCAGTGTTGATCAAGAGGAAAAGAGCAATTTTACGAGACTTCCGCTCGCTAAGAATGTGATGAATAGGTTTCATTACCATTGTCGTAATCGAAGCAGACGACTCGACCCCAAGCTCGAGATAGTTCAGGTAAACAGGATCCAAATCTCGTACCGCCACATACAGTAGTAATCCACAGAACAACAATCCCCAGAGGGAGAGCTCAGGAAAATACAGCAACTCCAGTATAACAGTACAAACAAAAGTGACAAGAAATTCAGTCCTAAAATCTTTTGAACTGACTAGTTTATCATCACTATAATTTTCATTCAAAAGAACCCCAAAAACAACAGTGTTTGCAAGAGGCCATGCCAGATTTCCAGAGGAAACACTCTTTCCCTCCGCTTCAAACATGAGCATACTAATTACAGCAGGCACAAAAAGGATAACCGTCGTGAAGAACAGTGAAATCAATCTAACTCGTTTCTGACCTAATTGCCTGATAGTTCCCCAATTCATCGAAATCCGCTCATAATAACCCAAAAATCCAGAAAGAAATGGAAGCAACATAGGCCAAATTGTCATGCAATTCTCTCTTGGAACAACAGAAAATCCATATTTATCAATGAACGAAGTTGCAAAAGGGAAGCAATCAATTCGATCCCAACTGATCGACAACAGAAACAAGCCAAAAAACAAGGACAAAAATCCACGAACCTCAGAGGATCGACTTCGAGACCGATCATTCATAGTAATCTGATTCCGTCCTTCGACCATGAATCGAGCCGCCACGTTCCCGGTCAGTTCAGCAAGAATCATCGCCGCTGTTCCACAGTACAACAGCGCTTGAAATCGAAGAAGAAAGACGACGGCAAGCAGAATTGACTTAGCAACCAGAGTTTTGAGCTGCGAGTGCGAAATCGAAGACAAAGAGAAGATTCCTCGATTCTGCTTAGAATTTTGAAATTGGAAGTTGGAGGAGGAAGAAGAATTGGTAAAAAGAGAGAAAAAGAGAGTAAGAAGCAAGGACAAGAGAGAAACCAAGAAAGAAAAGGGGAAGAGAGAGAAAGAAGGGGAAGAGCGGAGGAATGGGAGGAGAGAATAGAGTGATCGAAGCGAAAAGAGAAGCAAAAACAGAAATGAAACTGAGCTTTTGTTGGAGGATTTCGGATAGAGGCGGCTCTTGGAGGGAGTGGGCGTAGGGGTTAAAGAAGAATAGGGGAAGAGAGGGAAAGAAGGGCGAGAGGCGGCGGTAGATAAGTCACCGGCGCGCGGCGGAATCGAGAGACGGTGAGGCCTCTGATGGTGGTGATGGTGATCGGCCATGGATTCCGACCTCCAAGTTCGATCTTCAGATCCCTATACTGACGCCGGCCGATTCGAAGGTGAAACTTGGAAGAAAAGTCTTCTTTCTCATAAACGGAAGCTCTTCTCCGGAGACTGTATTATTTGTAAGGACTCCGACATTTTTAGCCAATTTAAAATAATGTATTTTAAAAGTAAAATATATTTTTAATTTAAATTATAATAAAATATAATGTATTTTAATAAATATTTTATTTAAATCACTATTCCAGTCCGAAAAATGCAACCAGATGATATTTTATAAGAGTTCTGTTTTTTTTTTTTTTTCTTTCTAATAGGATTGGATGTATAGTATTTATCTACACAAGGTTCATATAATGGCTCATGTACTTACTCCTAAATCTAACTATGGGTTAGCGCATGTTCACACTGTCTAAAATCTATGGAAAAGAAAGGAGCACGTACACAACAATTCATTAGAATATCATATCATAAATAATAACACGTAAATAAGTTACAAGTTACGTGTTATTCGTGCATCAATCAATTCATCCAACCAAACTTGCATGAGTTCCAACAGTAAGCTCATTTATAGTTGACTCAACTTGGTGCTTCTAAGTTTGTATTGGCTAAATGTTACTAAATTTAGGTTCACATGATCTAGTCTCACCTATGATATTTGTGAATGTTTGATTAATCCACCGCACCTAAATGGTGTGAAAGTTATCTTATTTATAATCAAATAAATTACAAGGACATGGAAATAGTAATAAATGGAAAGATATCTATAGTAATAAGGCAAATATTAGATATTTGCCTTATAATAAAATATCAAATATAATATATACGGGAAAGTATAATTTATTACTAAATATCCTTAATAATATTTAATCCATTTAGAAAATTAAGATTAGAGCCGATGAGCCAGTTACTTATCCTAAAAACAACCTTAAATATTATAAGTTGTCTAACGAGGTAGTTATATTAACCCTTTCTTGCGTGTCCAACATGTTTCTCCCAACAAGTCAAGTCAACAAAGCTAAAAAAATGTTTTTTTCTCCTGACTATATGATATTTATCAAACTAATTTGAATTTCATCCAGATTCTAAATGTATTTTTTTATTTTAATATATAATTTAGATATTATTAAAATTAAAATTTTAATTTAATTTATTAATTTTTTTAAATAATAAATTTTCATTCATTAACTATATCATTATAAGACTAGTTTGTTGCTCTTCTTGTCATGAATCTCAAATTAATTAATTAATATTTTGATAATAACGAACGTACTCTTAATTACTCGGCATGGAATAACGACTTTAGCAATTTTTAAATCACTAAAATCATAACTAAAACAAAGAAGTCAGGAAAAAAATGTGATTTAGACGTGACTAATATTATGATAATAGTGAAAATATTAAGAAAATCAGAAAACATCGTAAACAAATATTGTGGCATTGACCAAAATAGACCGCTTTTTTAATCTATATGAAAATGCTAAAATGTTTGCACTCCTCAAAGACAAATAGAAGAGCATGTTCCGTTTAGAAATATGCTCTAAGATATATGTGTAAAGGAGAGATCGTTAAGATTTATGTTATAAAACTTCGTAATTAGTTATTTAATTTTTAATAATAATTTTGATTATTTTATTTACACTTTAATATTATATAAAGTTATTAGTGCAAACAATAACCAAATATATGGTTGATGGTTGACGATTGACATAGAGGAAAAGTACTGTTTAACTAATAACTATAATATATTATTTAAGTTAAGTGTCTTATTATTGTAATATTATTAATATGACCTAATTTATAATTATTATGAAGGATTGGATATAAATCGTTATAAACTTATTTATTTAAGTTGAATTAAGTTAAAATAAATGGAAATTTTGTAAATGGAGTCCAAATACATTTTTACTTAAACTATTTTATATACATATATTTATTTTACTTTTATTTAATTTCATAATCATTTTTTTATTATTTATTCTCCCAACTATTCTCTTTAAAATAATTTATCAATTGAATTATAAATTTTAATTAAATGTTTGTAAATAAATATTTTACGAACTAACATTTTACTTTTATTTACATAAAAAAAATTTGAATAAACAATAAAAATAACTCGAACCAACCTAACCTAAAGAATCTATAATTAAGTTAGGTTGAGTTCATTATTTAATAAGATTGGTTAAGTTAAAAGAGTATACAACCCAAATAATTGAGTTGAGTTTAAAAAATATCTAGAGACCTAACTCAACTCACGAACATCCCTACTTGAATACTTTCTCGAGTCGGTTTAGCTATCTAACGACCTCGGTTAGTAAAAGTTTTCCAAAAGGGTAAAACAAATTGTTTCAAATTTTGTCCCACATCGAAGAGGATTAAAGATGAGATGCTCGGACCGTGTATAAATGGAATTGGAGGAGTTTTGGATTCCTTACTTACCTGGACGGGGTAAATGAGCGATCAAGAAGGCCCATTACGGTTTGGTAACCTCCATTGCACATTGGGGAGGGGTGCCCGCCCAAGGATGTCCCAAATTAACCGAACTATTCCTTGCAAAAAGATTAGGCGAATTTCTTTTTCGTTACATTATAATCATTTTTATAATTTCAATGTTTTAATATTCCTTGCAATTACGGTTACATTCATTTTTACATGTGTTTTACATGTGTTCATTAATAAATTAATTAATTGAAAGTATCTAACAATGATAAACAATCAGGGTAATTGTACTTCGTTTTTAATATATTTCTAAATTTTAATATTCATATTTATTTAATCTCTTCAACAAAACCTTAAAATTTTCATTTTTATAAATTCAAAACCTTAATTTTTTTTTTTTATTTTATACTAACAGAATTAAAATTTTTTATATGTTATTATTGTTTGCTCCTACATAACACTAATCTTCTCTTTTCTTCTGATACATTTGTACTTTTTTTTATAACTTTCTTTTTAAACAGGGGCAAGAGGCTCGAGCATACGTTGTTTGGCCGTAGGCGACGTAAGAACGGATAGACTTAACTCACATGTTGCTAGAAAGTGAGTACCGCACAATCGCAAGTCCGCTGCTATCAAATTGCGATTGTGACAAAGACTTTATTTTAATTAACAATGTGTTAGACTTAAAGTTCAAATTTCAGAGACTTGTAAGATAATTTTTAATCTACGAACGAAATACACGTGTCGATTAATAATAATTTTTTTTTATTTTTTTATCTTTAATCCTTTTTCTCATAAAGATTTTCCATTAGAGGTTTGATTGGTGGAAGCACCCATCACAAAAATGAAAGTGAATTCCATCTCAATAAACCACCTCTCTCTTTAAATCTCTTGTTTTTTTGCATTAAAAAAGCCTTGTGTTTTTTATGTGTGCCTTGTGTGTGCCTGCCTGAGTTTCTCGTGTGCCCAAAACATTACAAGTAAACCTCATTTCTAATCCATCACTTTTTAGGTAAAAATTCGAGCGTTCGGTGGGAAATAACGTCGTTTTGTAGTAATCGTGGTGAAAAAATTTGTTTGTTTAGAACATGATCCCGAACCCATATGACCATTTGCTAAACTTTTATCGAACCATTGTGTATCATGAAAAAAATCATTCAATATCTCGAGCTCATCGGACTATTCGCTTAATTTTCATTGAGCAACTATATATCATTAAAAAAAAAAAAATAAATACGTGTATAATTTAAAAAACATCCGTTGGTAATTTTAAAAATATCTTTGATTTTATTTTAAAATAACTTGGAAAACACATTTTAAACTTTAAAAAAAATTTAAAAAATATTTATACTGTTAGTAACACATTTAAAAAATACTTATAAATTTTTAAGAGTAATATTAAAAAGTTTCGTGCATGACGATTTTTGTCTATATATATTAACAAAAATTTGAACATTTTCATTTAAAGATAAATAAGATTAATATTAATTTTAAAATTTTAAAGATATTTTTTAAATTTTTTTGTATTAACAAGACTTTTAAAAATTCAATAATATTTTTAAAACATGGTTAAATGTGCAAAAATATTTTCAAAGGAAAGTAGTAATGATTTTCATCCGTAAATATATTTTTTAAATATTTTTAAAATTTAAGAATAACTTAAATTAATTCCAAATCATTAAAATAAAATTATTTTTCTCTCAAATTTCTATCAAAATAGGAAGAAAAATTAAAAGTAATTCTTTTTAAATCAATAAAATAAAAAGACAAAAAAAAAAAAACTAAAAAAAAAAAACTTAAATTAACAAATAAAAAAAATCTCTCTAATTCATATTAATTCTTACCTGAACTTTCTACTGATAAATGATCAAAATAGGCATTGGGAACGGTAGATTCATCTAGAGTTGGTGACAAAGCAAGGAACAACCCACATCAAAGGGTCCACGTGGCAGGTGACATGGCACGTGGTGATGCATCCTAATAATCAAAGTCAATAAATTTGAATATGACGTGTATATATATATATATATATATGCATGAAACAAAGAAAAAGAATGATATGATCTTATCTTTATCTTATTAGAACAATATTTCCATTTTTATTTATTTATTTATTTTTGCATATCGTTTTTTCTCTCTTTATCAATATGCAATTAATAAAAAATATTTTGTTAAATAATAAATTTATATTATATCAATTTAATCTCTAAACTTTAAAAATAAAATTTTGTTATTAATTAATCTTTTTAAATAAATTAATTTTTAAATGTTTTAAAATTTATAAACATAAATAAGAAATTTAAACAGTTAATAAAGTTTTTAACCATTAAAAAAAAAGGTTTATTTTTGGGTAAAAAAAAAGGGATTTATAGGTTGGAGTTGTGAGTGTTTTCGTAGCCTTCTTTGCTATCTCTGTCTCTGTTTTTTTCCACCGCCAATTCTCTGCAACTTCCGAGCTCGAGCTCAAGCTGTGCGCCGCCATGTCGGGAGGAGGAGGAGGAGGAGGAGGAGGAGGGCTGCGGCGGAGACCAAGGCTGAGTGGAGCGTGTATTCTTCTCATAGGTATTTTTAAAGTTTTTATTTTTTTATTTTTTTATTTTGAAGTGTTATTAAGGGTTATGACGGTGGTCGGCGGCGCAGTGGTGTCGGGGATGGAGAGATTCGTGTTCAAAGGGGTGGCGTCGAACATGGTGACGTATCTAACAGAGGTGATGAAGATGGGGAACTCGGCGGCGGCTAAGACCGTGAACACCTGGTGCGGCTTCACTTCCATGCTGCCGCTGCTGGTGGCGCCGCTCGCTGATTCTTATTGGGATCGTTATTCCACCATTTTAGCCTCTGCTTTTCTTTACGTCATGGTAACCATCACTTACCTTTCTCTTTCCCAATCTCTATTTTTTAAGTTATTAATATCTTAACCAATTGAATTAAAATTGACGAGAAAAAAAGAGCGGTTATCTCATTGCTAAGTTCATTGCTAACACCTGCTCGGGAGAGGTTTATACCGTAAAGAATGTTTTGTTCTCTTCTCCATCGACGTGGGATCGCACATGTTAAAATTTGAATTATTCAAATGAGTTGAGTTGGTTTAGGGGTGTTCGTGGATTGAATTGTGTCGGATTAAAACATTAATAATAACCCTTATTGAGACATCGAGTTTTCGAACACTTAGGATGACTCGTTAGCTCTCTCAAGAGAAATTATTAATATGTTAACTAGAGAGAAATTATTAATATGTTAACTAATTCGACTGTATTTAAATACAAGGTGAGCAGTTAAAGTTCAAAATGGGTCGGATTTGTTCGAGTTTTAACATTGAGATCAATATACTTCAAAAATCTCTATTTTTCTTTAAATTTGGTTGAAAATTAAAAAAAAAAAAAAAAAATTAAGTTTTAAGAAATAAAACGTTAAATATGATACATAAAAACTTTATTGGGACCTTCCACAATTTTGCTTCTAGTTTTTAACTTCTAAAATTAAATAATAATAATAATAAATAAAGAAATAAAGAAATAAATAAAAAATAATCAGGTTCTGCTTTTGTTATTATTGTGATGACTAAGAATAGGGATGCAATCTTTAGCCAATTTTGTCCAATTATATTAACTTTCTCTTTTCATAAGAATAAGTGCTTTGCCTTTTTCTCCCCCCTTTAATTTTGGCCATAAAGATTTATTATTATTATTATTTTGAGTTTAATATTATGTCGGGTGGAGATTTGAACCTATAAACCTTCTTGATCGGGCAACATGTTTTGCATAATTTAAACCCTTAATTGGTAATGTTGAGGTGGGTAACTTTTCAAGTGATGAGATTTATCGTATAAAATTATGCAGGGGTTAGTTGCTTTAACATCAACAGCATTAGCACGATCATGGTCACCAGCAAACACAACCTCCTCCTTCCTATTCTCGTCTCTCTACCTCATCTCGCTTGGCCAAGGCGGATACAACCCATCTCTCCAAGCCTTTGGTGCCGACCAGCTCGACCATGACGTTGCCGAACTCCCGATTGACACGCCCAAAACACCGTCCTCCTCCGAGCATAAGGCAAAGAAGAAGAGGTTGTTCTTCCAATGGTGGTACTTTGGAGTGTGCAGTGGCTGCCTCCTTGGTGTGACGGTCATGTCCTACATTCAAGACACATTTGGTTGGGTGATTGGGTTTGCCATCCCCATGGGCGCCATGGTTTGTTCTGTGGCGGTTTTTGCTTGTGGCACTAAGATTTATCGGTATAAGATAGAGGAGGAAGAGGATGGGGTTGCGAAGAGAGGGCTTGTGATCATGGTGGTGGAGCTTGTCAAAGCCTCGGCTTCTAGGCTCGTTTGTGCTACAAATGTTGTTGCCTTGTCTAAGAACAAGCCTCGTGATGATGTTGAGTTTGAGTAAGAACATCTCTATATCTCTCTTTGTTATTTTTTTTTTAATTTTATTGCCTATCTTTTTAAAATTTTGATTTCGTTTTTAGAACTCGTGTGAAATTCAAATGTGTTTGTAAGGAAGGTGAAAAACTTATTCGAAAAATTGTGAGCAAATTATCAAGCTAGTTTTTAACTCTTAGTTTTTGTGGCGTTTGCAACCGTGTAACTGGGCATACTGCTAGTAGATATTGTCCTATTTGGGTTTTCCTATCGGGTTTCCCTTTAAGGTTTTTAAAACACATCTTCTAGAGAGAGGTTTCTACACTCTTATAAATAATGTTTCGTTCTTCTCCCAAACCGATGTGGGATCTGCATCCATTCCCCAACTGTAACAACTTAGCTCAAACTCACTACTAATAGATTTTGAGCTTTCTCTTTCGAGTTTTCCCTTAAAGTTTTAAAATGTGTCTTCTAGAGAGAGGTTTTCACACTTTTATAAAAAATGTTTCGTTCTCCTCCTCTCCAACCGATGTGGGATCTCACAAACAACAGTTTTTTAATTGTTGATGTGATACGTGTTGACTAATCAACAGGTGATGATTTGACATAGCATTAGAAAAGATGACCAGGATCAAAAAGGGCGAGTAGATCGACCAAAAAAAAAAAAAACCCCTCAACTAACCTATACATTTATGTTTATTTTTTCTTTCGGTTTAACCCGCCCTTAAATTTGTGTAAAAAATCTTTGAAAATGAACCCGAGATAAAATGAACCCGGGAAGAACTTGATGAGTGAGCTAAAGGATGAATATGAAGCTGATTATTTGACATTTTGCAGGCTGCAAGAGAGCAAGCCACTCTGCCATGAAAGCTCAGGAGCCATGAAATCCATGGAAGAAAACACCAACATGATTCCAAAAGAAAGATTATGTGTGGCCGACAAGGTGAAGCTGATTTTGCGGCTGCTACCAATTTGGACATTGCTTCTAATGTTCGCTGTAATATTCCAACAACCAGCTACCTTCTTCACCAAGCAAGGCATGACAATGGAGCGGAACATCGGCGCCAACTTCAAGATCCCGCCCGCCACCCTCCAGAGCTCCATCACCATCTCCATAATCCTCCTCATGCCGTTGTACGACAACGTTTTGATCCCGATCACCCGCCTCTTCACCCGCACTGAAAAGGGTATCACTGTCATGCAGAGGATGGGCATTGGCATGTTCCTCTCTACCATTGCCATGATCCTCGCTGCCCTCGTTGAAGCCAAGAGGTTGACGATGACTAAAACCACATCGTCATTGTCGTATGCACCACTTAGTATCTTCTGGCTGTTGCCTCAGTACATAATATTAGGAGTTTCAGACATCTTTACAGTGGTAGGGATGCAAGAGTTCTTCTACTCAGAGGTTCCCGTGAGCATGAGAACGACAGCATTTGCACTGTACAACAGCGTGTTCGGTGTCGGGAGCTTTTGCAGTGCGATAATGATATCAATCGTGGAGTTATTAACAAGTTCGGATGGGAGGCCGAACTGGTTTTCGGATGACATGAGCAAGGCTAGGTTGGACAAGTATTATTGGTTGTTAGCATTTTGCAGTGGATTGAGCTTTGTATTGTATGTGATTTGGTGTAAATGTTGCAGAAACAAGATCAGTGGAGAAGAAACAGAATATTGAATTTGAATCAAGCTTTATGAGTTTGAATGGAATTGTGGAGTGAGGTTCTAACTAGTTTTTCTGTTCACTGTTCACGGTTTCGAACTTCGAACCTAGCTCACCTTTTGATAAAGAGTATAATGTTTTAATCAATAGAGTTATGCTCGGGTTGGTATAACTTCTTAAACTTATATCAACTTGCTACTTAACCGGTAGTTGTGATGCTAATGTGGGGTAGGCATTTCAACAGTTGAAAGAAGCTTTCAATCACTGCAGAGAACTTATAAGTTAGCTAACCACTATCTATAGCAGCCCATGTCCACCGCTAGTAGATATTGTCCTTATAAATAATGCTTCGTTCTCCTCTCCAACCAATGTGGGATCTCACAATCCACCCCCCTTGGGGGCCAGCGTCCTCGCTGGCACACCGCCCGATGCTTGACTCTAATACCATTGGGTACAGGCCAAGCCCATCGCTAGCAGATATTGTCCTCTTTATGCTTTCCCTTCCAGACTTTCCCACGAGGTTTTAAAACGTGTCTGGTAGGCAAAGGTTTCCACACCCTTATAAAACAATACTTCGTTCTCCTTTCCAATTGACGAGGGATCTCACATAGAGGATTCCAATAACCATGTTCGATCATTCATCATACAAAAGTAAAAAAGAAATGGGGAAAAAAGCATTGCTATCAATTATCAAACAAATACTATGAAATCGTTTACCAAAGGCCACAACCAATGATCGTACTATTAACATTACAAACATGGACTTTCATATTCAATAAGAACAAACAACGAATTAATATGATTCTCTAACATTTCATGAGGCATAAAGACTTCAAAACTCAACATATTCTCGTAAGGGCACATAAACTTCGATGCGAAAAATTTCGAGTCTAAGCCTTTTAAAGCATTGAATGGAACAAGAAATGGCACAAAGCTTGACTTTCAGTATGCATTTAGATCTAAAGAAATGAACACAAGATTAGCAGAACTTGTTTCTATTTCTTGATCGTGATAAAACAAAAACTAAATCAGCACCACAGAGAGGTATCTCAACCATTTGATACAAGTTAATCACAACATTTGCAGTCTAAACTAATCATGCTCGAACAATTATAAACCAAAATGTCCAATGGAATTTACCTCATTGATGAACATCATGACCATTCACGCCCAGATCGACCACTGCTTGTTTCCTCTTCCCCAAATTGCTTTCTTCACTTAGATCATCATCAGAATCCAAAGTGAACTGGCCCTGAAACTCAAATGGCAGCATCTCCACCCCGATCGGCCGGTACTGCGAAAAATTTCTGGTGCCTCCATTTCTGTAATTGAGGATTGAATATACACCAACCACCAATGTCACTAAAAGAGCAAGATGGCAATTGAACTGAAGTGTAGCAATTGCTCTGGCTCTGTGATATTCAGGGTGTCCCTTGCATTTTATAGTGTAATTTCCTCTGCTCTTTTGGTGCAAAGAGCACCCATCAGTTATCAAATTGGTGAAAAAAGATAACCCCATTTGTAAAAACCATGTCCCCTGCAGAATCAACCCAACCCCGCGAACAATTTTGGGGGAAATCAATTTGGGGGAGTTCAATTCGAAAATTGTAGCGAAAACACAAATTGTAATAGGGACAAGCAAGAGATCGAAGTACCGATTCTCGATTCCACTGGTGTCTTTCCTTTGCAGGTAGAACAACAAAAACTCTTCCACAAAAGCGAATAACGCGATTAAACTGAGAATTGTTGAAGGAAGATGAACCGATTCATTGATGTTAACCACAATACCGAGAATCGCATAGAGAAAGAAAAGAGAAGCAACGGCTAGAACTGGTAACTGGAGGGTCCAACCGACTCGGTCGCTCGAATTAATCGCATCGAAAAATGAAACGAGGGAGTTTAAGATGACGAGCAATGAGAGAACGAAGATGAAAATGAACGACGGAAATGATGAAGATGAAGCGATTGTGGCAGTCGACGGCGGAGATTGAGATGGAGGTCGGGCAGTGTTGAGAGAGGAAGATGGATTTGGATTTGGATTTGAATCGGAATCGGAAATGGAATTCAATGAAGAGAGTGCCTCCCATGCGCCGATCAGACAGAAACCCCCGCCGGCAACGGACAGGGTGAAGAACTCCATTGCTGGATCTCGCCGGACTTTTGAATGTGAATTTCTTGATCGCTTTCGATTCCCTCTTTTTTGTTGAAATGTGTGAAGTTCTTGAGGCTTTTTTGTTCTTTCTTCCTTCCAATCGGTTTGAGCATTGACTCTGGATTCTTGTCAACAATAGGACCAAATGGGAGAGATCTTAGAGCTTTTTAAGTCACTTTTCCCTGGCTCCCTTAATGATGTGTGTGGGCCTTAGCCAACAAGCTATTAATTTAGTGGTAGAGCACCCCTAGTAAACCTTAGCACGACGAGCCATTAGCTCAGTGGTAGAGTTTTGCTTAGATTATGTGTGCACGTTTTGCTAAATTTCAAACATTTTATGACATGGCTCTAATACCATTTTAGATGAACACGACCTCCTTTGTGGTATGACTCTAATACCATGTTAGATGAATACGATTTTTTTTGTGGCATGACTCTTATACTATGTTAGATGAGCACATCTCTCCACAATGATATAATATTGTCCACTTCGAGCATAAGTTTTCATGGCTTTGGTTTAGGCGTCCAAAAAATGCTTCATACCAATGTAGATATTATTATTCGATTATAAACCACGATCATTCCCTAAATTAGCTAACTTTCATCCAGACACTTACCAGTTAAATGGATAAATCTTTAATTTTTTTTTTTTTTAATAATTTAGTTTCGCAATATGGAGATCAAATTAAAATTTCATAAACATGATTATAATAATTACAAAACGTAAAAGGGTTGATTGATAAATATTTTTAATTTAAGGGTATGAGTGCAATAAATATTTAGTTGAGGACTAGTTGGTGCAATTTTATATTTTTCTTTAAAAAAAAAAAAAAGCAATTTCACGTGCACTACGGCGCAGTGGATTAAATCCTTGACGGTCAGTGAGGGAATTGGAGAGTTGTTTAATCTCTGATTCCTAGGGCTCCTCTATTCTCAAAATCGGCTTCTGGTTCGACTGCTAACGCAACTCTTTCTTCTTCTTCTCCATTTACCTTCGGAAAGTCCTTTCCATGGCGCTTCCTCCTGGGCCTTATTCAGGATCCAGCACCCTCGCTTTGGTACGTATGTTCAGTTTTGGTTTCCGATCGATTTCATTGAAAATTTTCGACTAGAGATTAGGTTGAATTTCGCGTGTTGTAATGCTATATGCGGAATGTTATTTGAGATTTTATAATGGAAAAATGATAAATTCAACGGTTTTGATCCTTGGCAGGTTGCTCGTGCTTCGGCTTTCTCTGTTGGACTTGTCTTCGGAAGCCTCAAGCTCAAGTACCTTCAGGTTTGTTGATTCCGTTTCCTTCTTTTCATATTGTTTGTTTTTCCACTTCAAAACTTAGGCTCATCGAAGTCGGATTGCGTTTCTGGCTTGAATGTTTGTAGGATCTATATTATCATTTCTGATTGCTCTTCCCTGCCAAGAGTGTCGAGTGCTATCTGCAAATTATTGTCGCATTCAAGATATAGAATAATTTTTTAGTGTATATGCATTATTTGGGTCTTAATTTCTGGGAAACTACGCAGTCATACGTCAAAAACTTGTTCGTTTTTAATCTTAATGTTTTTTCAAGGCTAAGTTGTTCAAAATGCTTCTAAACTTTGAGGTTAGGTTCAAGTACGTCCTTGTACTTTTAAGAGGTTCACTTCTATTGTAGTGGTCGAAGAAAAAGTATCACCTCTACCTTTGTCCTTTAAATTGATTCACATATGCACTTGAATAATTTTATCTTTGAAACGAATTTTGGAAATTGACTTTTAAAAACTGCACAGAAAACGTGGTACTAACCACTAGGTATAATCACTGATGTGCTTGTGAGTTAAGAAATGAAGGGTAATGTAGCTTGAAAAGTGAATTGTCAGGATATCGAAAGGCCAGTTTGACAGTGCCTGTCATGTCGATTCCATCTCAGTGGTAAAATTGTTCAGGGAGTTTCAAAATCAATGTTAAAGGTGAGGATGGATAGAAGTGAAACTTTTTAAATGAAACAAACTTCTAAGTTTAGGGGCATTTTGAATAATTTAGCCTTTTTTCAAGTAGGAAAGTAGAGTAAGAAAGTGTAGGGAGGAAAAAATCTCCTATCAAGTGAAGGGAGTTAGAAAAAGAACCATCTAGTTGACATGAATATCAACAGAGGAATACTTTCTAGAAAGAATAACTGCCCTAGAAACTTCTCTGATAGGTTTGATAAGTTCTCTTCAACAATTTGTCGAATACGTCCCCCTCCTTCAAGATGCCCCGAAGCACCACTTATTCTTGTTGAAGAAACTCATACCCTGAAAGCAGAAGTTCCATAAAGTAGAAACAAAAGCGTATGATGGAAAAAGGTGATTTAATGTCTCTATCTCTTAGTGAGGAAGAAGTCACTATGAAGATGATAAAGATGAGTTTGGATATTTTTCTTGTATTTTATCCCCAAGTCTGTGCCTTACTATCTAAGGAGAGTACCGAAAAAAAGAAAAGAGCATCTAAGTTTCTGTGGATCCTCCACTTCCATTCAAGTGTCTTTATCTCAAGATTTAGTCATCATGGAGTGAAATTTAGTTTTTTATTTATTTATTTATTTTATTTTTAAACTAGAATATTGATTTCTTAGGCCCCGATTGTTAACCATTTGGTTTTTGGTTTTTGGTTTTTGAGAACTAAGAATATACAACATTACTACTTTTGGGTTTTTTTTCCTTGTTTTGTTATCTACTTTTTACACATGCTCTAAAAAAACCAGACCACGTTATGGAAACTAAAAAAAAACAGTTTTCAATAACTTGTTTTTATTTTTAGAATTTTTCAAAATATTCAAATGCTTTTTTTAAAGGAATATGAAACTCGTTGTAGAGAAATGATGGAAAACAAGCTCAATTTTAAAAAATATATATATATATATTAAAATGGGCCTTAGAATTTAGGATTTATTCTCCTATTACACTATGCATGATGAAATTGTTATGTTTTTTGGTTCAATATTTTTGTTTTGTTGTTTACTGATTATTGCACAACAGATTACCATTAATTTTATCATATTGAAATTTAAATTCTAAACATTTTTCTTGAAGCAACTATCTATGTTTTACAACATAGTTCATAAACCTATTAAACTAGATGGATTGGTCTAATGCCATGAAAGTATTAATTGTTCTTATTGGTCTGTTGAATTTCTTTGAACTTGATGGTTCAGTTGGGTTGGATTGAAAATGATATTAGAAGGAAACCTATTTTTTGAAATTGAAACTTCAAGTTTGGTTTTTGAACCTTAGTAAGAATGCTTGAAATAAACTATGCGTGGTCTTGGACTATATTTATTAATTTCCATTAATGTACTTAATGATTTATTCTCTTATTTTTATTCAACTGAAGATCCAAATTATAGTTTATTTCAAGTTGAGGTTTGATAGAACCCAACATGTTATATGCTATCTTAAAAGTTTAAATGTAGATAACCTTCAACTTGACTGTGGGATTGTTAGTCACAAGTCATAACTTGTGCACATTTGAAAAGGGAGCGGAAATAAATTGTTTGATGATTTACCATTTTATATTCTATCCATATAGCGCTTGTAAGTTTCTATATGGATTTTGTTTTCGATCCATTTGGTGTAGCATCTTTTGTATCTGTTGCTGTTGTCTTATTTACGAACAGGATTAGTCAATAGGTCGCCAATTATGAAGCATAGATACGTTGTTTTAGGCCGAGTGTCCGTCTCAGACACATGTTGTACACGGATACGTTCAAACATGCTTTTGACACGTGTCCAACATGCTATTATACATGACTTTTTTTTTTGTTTTTTGTTTTAATTTCGAACATGGCTTGGAAAATTTTGAATTTTAAAAAAAGGCCCCACATTTAATCGTGAAATTTGAACCCCTAACAAGTAGCACCATTGACTACTTGTTGCTAGCTGTCAGTTCTCTTTCTCACAGTAAGTTCACCATTTAGAATATGTTTTTTATGCCATTTAGTGTAGTATATTTAGTATTTCACGTTAATTTTACATATATCTTAAAATAATAATAATAAAAGAACGTACCCCTAACATGTTCGTGTCCTAGTCTCGTAGAAACTGATGTATTGTTGTGTCCTATCACGTCGGTTTTCATGTCCCGTTTCCGTGCTTCTTAGGTTTGCCCATCTGTAACCTTGAGTTTTAAGGGGAAGAGGATCTATAGTCCATGACATTCCTATTCAATTTCAGTTCAACTTATAATCATATTATGATTTCAAAATTTCATGTTATTTGTGGCTCTCTTTTGAAGTCATTCTAAATTCACCTGTCTGTTCTTAAATTTTTACTTTCAATTCCTACTTAATCACTGCAGGCGAAGGCTAAATCTCACAAGAAAGCAGAAGCCAAGGCTCATCACTGAGGTATGGGCTGATTCTGGTCAGCGTGAAAATTTAGGAACCGGTTGAATTTGAAAGCGAATAATACATGGTAGATGGTCACGATCTATTTTCTTTCCTACTTTTTTGTTCTGCATTGGATGACTCTATATTCATTGAAGAGTCGTGGAGATGTATCTAACCTCGGTCTTAGTGGTCGTATTTGAGTTACACAATTCGTTCTGATGGATGGACGAGAGGGTTATCAGATCATGATTCCTTTCTTTGATTGAAATGAATAACTTGTTTCCCATCTTTCTTGGTGTTTGGATTATGATTATTGGATTTAAGTAATCTACAATTTTGTTAGATAGGATTTAAAAGTTTGAATATATGAAGTCATAGAATGAGTTAGTTAGTTCACAGTCCGAGGATCAGTAAGTTCACATATCAAGTATGGTTTAGATTTTCTTCTTTAATTTGGAACCAAACAAATGGAGCCAATGATTCAAACTTATATCTCCTTGTGACAATGGATATTTGGGGTGTACTGATTGACCCAACTTGGCTGCATAAACAAACCCATTAGCCGAATATGAAAACTATCGTCAAAATTGCTCCTTGAATCGAGATATCTCTTCTTTGAAACTTCGTTTTGATAGAGGATTCCTCTTGGTCATAGTTTAACTTCCTAATGCCTATTGGTAAGTTTGGGTTCAAATTTATAGTAAAGCTTCTTATGTCTCTTGGTCTATGAGTTACTTCAACAACTAGATATAGTAGAGTAGAGTCAAATAGACAGTTTAGTGATAATAGTAAAGCCATGTGTTTGACACTCGCCCAATGAATTGAGACTTATCTATTAGGTTAGGTCAAATATGGTATGCTAATGTTTGGAGACACTCTTATGAAAATGGCTCAGGACATATCTTTCGGGCTCATTGTAAAAAATTTGAAATCATTGATGTTATACCATTGAATTCAACAATCTCAAACGTAAAAGCGATCAAATCTTATGGTCAAAGACCTAAAAATCTCAAACATTCGAACTCTCTGATTTGTATCATCACTTTGTTTTCTTTCAATTTCAATTTAAGCAAGATAAATATTTGAATCTGCATTTTCATATGGTTTAAAAATCCTACCAAAATGAACATTTTAAAAAAATTAAGACACTTAGAAAGTAGTTCTAAACAAACCCTTATTAACCTGAAAAATTAGTGAATCGATTATTCCTGTATGGACCTCCATCATGATCAAAATTATTTTTAAAACAAAGATTTTTCATAGAATTCATATAAATAAATCAATAATTAAATATGATTATCACTCAGAAGTCAGCACCAAGAAAATGTTTAATTATCCAACTCATAGAAAAAGAAAAAAAAGAACAAATCTTTTATTCTCAAAAATGACATAAAGTTCATTCACTTCAAATCAAAAGCTTGGTTTGACATTATTTTAAAACCGAGGAGAATGTCAAACCATTGCCTTTCAGCCAAACTTTCCCTTTCACTACGTGGATTTTTCTGTTAAACTCAGTTTCATTTTAGTTAGTAAACAATAAAACGTGTAAATAATAATACAATAATAAAATTTATATATTGTAACACTCTTAACAGATATTATACACTTTGGTCTGTTACGTATCACCATCAGTCTCACGGTTATAAAATGCGTCTACTAGAGAGAGGCATCCACACCCTTATAAGGAATGCTTCGTTTTCCTCTCCAACTGATCTAATGTCGAATCTCACATATACGGTTGATTGGTCTAGTGGTCAACAAGTCAATAAGGAACATGTAGATACTAAAGAACTTAAAAAAAACCGAGTTTAAGTCGTGAGGGTCATCTACCTATAATTTAATATCAAAAAAGAATTATCTCTACCAATAGTCTGAGGTACAAAAACAAAAACCCACCCCCATATCTATTTTTAATGTAAAACCCATCTGGCTAATCAATACTTCTTGACCTTAAACCATTTCTGGCAAATAAAAAATAAAAATATATGATATATTTAGAGACTCCATGAACTTGCCAAACCTATGATTTTTTAGGACAGAGAATTCCAGCTCAAAATGATGCATATGGAAACAGAGCTGGAAGCAGGTTTTATAGCCAGAGGATAACACCAAGAGACAACCAAGCAGACAAGTCTAACAAGTAATCAAAAGATTTTCGACAATATGCTAAACAAGTATTCTGAAACCCCTTTTGCTTCAAGCAAAAGTTTTCTACCAGAATTCAAAATTCTAAACTGTTCTTTCTTGCACCAAAATTGAGGCAGTATAAAAGGTGTACAAAAGATAGATTCCAAGCAAAAATTGGGCAAAAAGATCATATGCAATAGATAAAACTCACTTACCTGTTCAATCATTGTGTAGCAGCATCTTCCATGAGGGCATTGCCATTCCAAAAGCTTCAAGAAAGCCTGGAATAGTTAAGAACACAGCCAAGAACAGTACCAAATCCAAAAGGGTTTTGATCATATCATCAAGTTTGAATTTCCAAGTGAATATAAACTCACATGGCTGTAAGGTAGAATAGATTGATTCAAGCATATTCTTCAGCATTATCAAGAATATTAAGAACAGGAGAAGAAAAAGGGTCTTTGATTCTATTTCTTTCTGAGATATCAAACCAACAGAGAGCTTTCAAGATTGAATTCAAAATTTTCCAGAGCTCTTGAGACATGAATATTAAGTATCACAAACAAAGCAATCAGCTCAAATCAAATGTTATGAACTAGCACCATGATCATGTCTCAAATCACAGGACAAGAGATGGAAAACAAAGAAGCAAGAGAATGACTTTCTTTTTGAAGTAAGTAAACTGTGAACTCTTACACTCTTCTTCTACAAGGCTACATCATACAGAAGCTGATCATCATCAACACAAGTATAAAATCGCACTAGAAGAACACAAAGATTACAACCCAGAACCCAAACCAAACAATTAAACATGTATATATTGGCACAAATATCACAATTGATGAAGGAAGTATACGGATTTTTCATATGCTCATAATCAGAAAGAACCAAACCTAAATGATCTTGAATTCAACCTGATGCAGTTGTCCCCAAATTGGATTATGACTAACAGAATCCTCCAAGTTCAATTAATCGCATCGCATCGATGGCGAATCTCCCCTTGGTTCCCTGTTATTACTTTATAATTACTTAACTTCTCCATCGCCCGAGCAAAATCACTGAAGAATTTGTTCTCGTCCGCCGCATACTCCTCCACAAACGGCCTTGTCCTCCAATCGTCATACAATCCATGATCGGACTTCAAGATCCCCAATCCCTTGGGTAGATTCTGGAAGTAAGAGTTATCGAACTTGTTGGGAGTCATAATGTCATTGAAAACGGATAATGTAGGATTATTTTCGAAACCAGAACAAGCCTTCTGCAACCCTTGCGCAAATCTAGGGTTATACTGACTGTCATACGGAGGCGACTTGCTATAATTATAGATCTGAGCGCTGAATTCCTTACAATGCGAGAAGCCAATCGTATGAGCACCAGACAACGCTACCATTTCCTGCACAGTAAACCCGCGAGATGTGAAAATATCAATGATCTCAGACATCGGCGATGTAGCCAGCGGCAGAGCATTAGGAATCGTCGAAGCTTCCGAGACACGGCCATCTCGGCGACCGAGGAGAACGTTGTAGTAAGGTCCACCGACCATGGTGACGAGGTCACGAGTGGCAACCGCAAGAATGTCAGCACAGGAGACAGTGTCGGGACATGCAAGCTCAAGTGCGGTCTTAGCCCGAACGACAACATCAAAGGCATCGCCAGGGAGAGAGAGGTTGATGTCGGCGTCACGCTCAGCTTTGTTGAATGGAGTGGAGGTGATGAGGACAGAGCCGTCGCAGCCGTTGGGGAGACAGTCGTGGAGGAAGAGTCGGAGAGTTCCAGCGGCGGTGGAAGGGCTTGTGATCTGCTTGTTGGTGACTGTTTGTTGGATAATCTGGCGGAATTCCGGGCATGATTTCTGGTAGTAATCCGACGTGAGAGTAACTGATTCCGATAGCCACAAAAACGACGCCGTCGAGATAAGAATGAAGCAAACCTTCAGAATCTCCATTGCTATCTCTGTCTTACCTTTCAGAAGAAGCAGAAGAGAGACTTTAGAGAGGGGAAGAAGACGAGCAAAACGACGTCGCAACCTAAATCCACGCGCTTTAGTCTGGACCGCTTTTCACGGACCGGTGGGACCCACTCCCATAAGTAACATCAAAACTCAAAGATATAACAAAATTATCAAAATAATAATAATAATAAAAATAAATAAATAAATTTTAAACTTCAAAAAAAAATAATAATATATTTTTTAAAAATATTGAACTTTTAAAAGAAATATTAAAAGAATTTAGAGATAATATATAAAATATGGATATGATTTCTCCCTGATTATTATTATTATTATTTTTTTTTTCTTTTAGAGTGGTAATGCTACTTTTAAAATTTCAGTATCCACGATATTTTTTAATTTTGAAAGTTTTAACGGTATTTTTTTAGATAAATACAAAATTGAAGGGTTTTTATTAATTTAATCTTAAAAATATATAAAAAAAATTTGTAGATAAATGTAAATGACAAGATTATCCTTGGATGGAGAGGGGGCAAAGGATAAAAATGTAATTTTAGGGGTTGGAGATTTTAATGGGAGCACGTATATATGGAAATGGGTGGGTAAATTATTAAAAAAGTGGAGGTGTAATATAATGTAGTGTTTTAATTAATTGGGCAAATATCGGCTGGCCCTAATAAATACAAATTAATACATGTATTTATAAATTTAAAATATTAAATCCTAAATTTTAATAAATTTTAAAATATATTTTCGTAAATAAAATTACAATATAAGCATAATTTTTAAAAATGAGTGGGTTGGACATGTGGATCACGTTTGCCAAATAGAGAAAAATCTCTCCTCCCTCCCTCATTCTCTATTTAAACAAACAAGATTTCTAATCTCATTTGGAGTTGGTCCGGCGAGTTAAATGGATATCTCTAAACTTAAATATTACATCATTTAAATTTCGTGATCTAGTCTTATACAAATTCATTGTAAAATATTTCTACTCACATGTCTGTACATGAACGATTTGAATCAAATCATTTATAACAATTATAAAATAAATCGTATCAATAGTGTTATCATGATAAAGTACTTGTGGTCTCATTGGAACCCTCTAGGCTATTTCTAAATATAATCTTCTCGTATATCAACTATATACTGTTTAAGATTACATTAATAATCTTAAATATTTCATATAATGGATAATGTTAAACTTACGTCTTCAGATCGCCAACCGAATGCACCCTAAATAAGAACACGTTCACTATGTTGAATGAAAGTCCTACATCGGTTAATTTAGGGAATGATCATGAATTTATAATTAAGAAATACTCTCTCTATTGGTATGAGACCTTTTAGGGAAGCCCAAAGCAAAGTCATGAAGTTTATGCTCAAAGTGGACAATATCATACCATTGTGGAGAGTCGTATTCATCTAACATGGTATCAGAGTCATGCCCTAAACTTAGTCATGTCAATAGAATCCTCAAATATCGAACAAAAGACTCCAAAAGAAAAAAGGAATCGAGGGGAGGTGTATCGATTATGCACAAAGTGGACAATATCATACCATAACACACTAAACTAAACAAGATTGTAATGTGAGATCAAGAAGCATGAGCCAGTAATTTATCAACCAAATATTACTTGCTCTTTTTTGGTATTAACTTAAGAAATTAAAAAAGAGCATAAAGTTATGTGTGTGATATACACAACTTTGAAAAGACTATACCATTTGAAGGATGATAATGAGCTAGCTTACACTCATTTTCTAGTTTAAGAAGTAAGGAGATAGCTTACAGTTATGCTGATGAACAAGGTGATAAAAAAGACAATGAAGCTCCTCTTCAATCTTCCACAAACTATTGTTGGTTGGACTCTGGTTTTGTGGCTGTACTCCCATTCTGCTTCTGCATCTCTTGCTGTTGTTGGTGATGGTGCTGCTGCTGAAGCTGAAGCTGGTGGCTATGGTGACTGTTGGAAGGTTGGTGCAGATGAGGCTGTGCGTTTAGCTCTGTTGTAGCGAGTTTCAATCTCTGAACCTCCGCAGTTAAGGCTTCGTTTAGAGCTGTCACATTTGATAAAGAACGATGAATACAAGCAGAAGCATAAATGAATTCCACAATTGAAGTCCTAACTTTTAAAACTCGAGTCGACAGTCTACAAGCGAGAAAGAAGGGGAGTAAGATGCTGACAACAGCATCCAGTTAAAATGTACAATGAAGGAAGCAAGTGTCATAGGAGTTAGCCGTGAATTCTAGGATGCCTAGTGTCACGGTCATGTTTGTCCAAGGCGTGTTGCTCAGAGTTGCATGTCTGTTATATGCCAAAACCTTTGCCTTGTATCACTTTATCGTTTTCCTTTACTACTTTCATGAAGTATAATTTCCTTCTTGTCTTTTCTAAGTGTATGACGTTTCTGCAAAATCATGTCTACACCTGGTAGACATGAAATGCCCCAGAATGTACTGTAGGGGGATGCGACTAGTCGTCAACTCCTCCCACCTAGATTTTGTATGATCGTTCGGAGAAATCACATCTAGGCCTACCAAACCTGAATCGCCTCAAAATGAACAATAGGGAGATGCGAATAGTTGTCAAATTCTCTCTTTCAAAATCTCTCTGCTCCAGTTTTCTAAAACATTCTCCTCGAAACAAGGCCAGAAGCTTGAGCATACGTTGCCCGGCCGTAGGCAATGCAAATCCTAAGTTAGCTTGACTCACTCAGTGCTAAGAGTGAGTGCCGCACAATCGCCAAATCCGCTGCCAAGAAAAATGCGATTGTGACACCTAGGGCCCATTACTACCTACCAACACCTCTTAATATAAGTTCTTAACTGCACGACAATAGTAAAACAACAGGTAACATTCGGGATCAATGTACTGGACAGTGGTATGAACTCGGATTGACATTACAATTATACCATCTCATAACTAAGGCCTAGGAAGTGAAAAGAACACAGGTTCAAAGCTACAAATAGAAGGCTCCAAGGTGGGTTCTTCAAAGAACTAAACTAATCAATGGGATAAGTATATAGAAGGTCATTTTCCAGAAATAAATGGCTAACAGAGTTTCAAACAGCATCAACTCATGGACAATCGGAAAAGAGTAAAGAGAAGTGTCAATACCATCCCGTAGTTGTGCTTGTTGTTCCATGGCTTGGAGACGAAACTTCAGTTCATTATTCTGGTTTGTAAGTCCAACTGAATCTCTCTGAATACAGAGCAATTACGGAAAACAGAGAATTTAGCAGCAGGAAAATGGAAATAGAAAATAATTGTTAACACTCAATATTTCTACCTGTAGAAGTGTGAGCTGAGCAGACAGCGTGGTAGCTTCTGTCTGAAGAGTCTGAACCTTGTGTTCCAACTCAGATATATACCACATCTTTCGTTCTTTTGATCGAGCAGCAGATTGACGGTTTGCCAAGATCCTGAAGTAAATTCATCGCTCAAGATCAACAATCAATGGATGAAATTGTTTCAGTAAACTAGTTGATGACATAATTTATACATATACCTCTTTACGCGCTTGGGGTCGGCTAGTGCAATCTCAGCAAGTTTGTCATTTGCCATAATTTTCTTCAGTTCAGCCCCACTGAACTCACTATTAACAAGCTCCAAGCTGAACGGAGTTGAATTACCCTTAGCTAGGTTGTTTGAAGAAAGTTGTCCGGGGCGAACAGCAGGTGGTGTAGGAGGCATTTTGGGCGACTCGTCACCAAACTGCAACTTGTCCATAAAACTATCCATGGAGACACTACGGTAATGTCTGGTAGTTCGAGCAATATCTCCCCCCGCAGTCCGTTTGATCCCTTCCCTCTTCTCACCGGACGAATTCAATCCAGGCATTTGATTGTTATCCCCACTTTCATTTACACTGCTTTCTGCTTCATTATCGCTGCTGTCACCCCCATTTGTCTTTGTTCCACTACCCCTGCTATCCAAATCCTCCTGATTTTCATGAACATTCTTACCGTTGGTCCCAGAAGAGTGGAAAAAATCAATATTATCCAAATTCATGTAAGCAGAAAATAAGTCATCCACACTGTCCCCATCGGATTTCTTCTCACCCTTTCCTTCTAAATTGTTGTCAACGCTTTTCTCCAAATTAGGTTCTCTTTTAAGAAACTGGCTGGCCGGCTTTAACATGCCAGCATTCCCTTTACTACTTGTTGATCGCTCCAATCCACTAGAGCTACTGAATGGGAGAGGAGGAGATGGCTGAATCATTGAAGATAATCCAAATGGGATATCACTACTAGACCGCCTATGTGCTTTACGAGGAGGTAAAGAATCTCCCATCTTAGAAGAATTCGCTATCGTATAAGGTGAGGGAGGCAACAAAGAATTTGAACTGTTATCCCTATCCTCCATTGATGTGTCTGCAGAAACCTGATCTGAATTCGATGTAGTCGGGGACTCACGAAATGAAGACGGGCTAAAAGGAGGCAAAGAATCGAAAGAGAAAAAGGAAGGCTGAGACAACGATCGGGAATGAGTAGGCACTAGGTTATAACGTTGCTGGTTCATCGGACGCGCGATCGGGATCTGAGAGTACGGTGAAATTGGTGGGATCTGCGGTGAGCTAGGGCTAGGAGGTAAGCCAACTCTTCTACTATCATCGCCAAGAAAATTCGACTGGAAGTGCGGCGGACGGCTTTGTGAACAGTTCATTTGGGAAATTTTGAGTTGATCCATCGAGAAAGGAAGATTTCCAGTTGAACAAGAAGATGCTCAATATGAACATCGAAGATTTCGCATGTTATCAGTGTTAGCCTCTCCAGTATCACCCATTTCGCCTCAAACAACGACGTCTCAGTGAATGATAATGCCCAAGAAAATCACCACTTCAAAAACCTACGCAACTCCACCACAGATAAACCCTGGTTGAGTTCCAAAATCCCGATCATAAACAAAACAATCCGTAATAGATTAAAACAAGTCAAACCTCACAGAACAAACCTAATCGATCACTGAAACAACATGAAAGAGCTACAGACATTCAAAAGTAAAGCAATGAATCTTCATTGACAACAATAGTCATTCCGCATCTATTAGAAATACCTCCAAGGCAGTAATCACTCTAATCCGGCCAGATTCTCGACAATGCCCTCGCCGGAAAGTTAGCCACCTCCGTCTCCAAAACGGCAGAGTCTAAAAGAAAAAAACCTTAATTCTCCGCCATGGAGAGAAACATTTCCGTTCAGAACGAGCAGCAAGCTTCATATACAAATTCGCCGGCGGGAATCGCGAGGACGCCGGCGATTCCCCTCTCTCTAAAAATCGCTTCGGCAGTTTTTCTCTGACAGAGGAGGACGACGACGACAACGACTACTGGGACACCGATTTTCATGACACGTACGCGTGAATTTAATAAGAATTTGCATTTCGGACGAATTTAAATTTAACCTACATTTCAATTTCATTCCGACCGAATTTCTTATCGCCCCCAAACTTTCACATGAATTAATTTAACAATTAATTTCTCCAATATTACTACATTACATGGTCCGTGTCATACTCGTCCAACGTGTGTTGTCCATGGCCGCATACTCATGACAAGTCAAACCCTTTGTGTCTTTCCATGTTCTAGTGTTTTATTTTGTATTTATAAGAAGTATGACGTTTCGAAAAAAATCATGTCTAAGTCTACTAGACATGAAATGCCTCATAATGTACTATAGGAGATATGACTAGTTGTCAACTTCTCCCTACCAATAGTTATATACTGTGAGCGGTTGTTGTTACTCTCTTGCTTGCATATATAACGCATCTTTCAAAAATTTTCTTTCAAAAATTTTCTTTCAAAAATCTCTCTCTGTCTCGTTTTCTAAAACCTTCTTCTTAAACTGAGACCAGAGGCTCCAGCATACATCGCTTGGCCATAGACGACGCAAGAACAAATTGGCTTAGCTCACTTGTCGTTGGAAAGTAAGTGCCGCATAATCGCAAGTCCGTATCAAGAGTGTGATTGTGACACCCTGTACTCTTAATTTTTCATTTTTAAAAAATTGTCAAATTTTACCTCTAAATTTAGTAACATTTATCCATTTATTTTTACTTTTTACTTCATCATTTATCAATTAGGCATTAAATTTAGTTAGGTTTTGTGGTAAGATTAAATGGTAAATTTGGTCCTAATTTTATATATTATACTTAGTTTATATAACTATTTTTTTATTTACATTTTCGTGTTTTAAAATAATTATCGTCGATTTTATACATTCATGAGTTATATAAAATTATAAGACAATTTTCGAGATTAATTAGGTGAACACGATGGTTAAGAATCCTTACAAAAAATTAATAATTATATATATTAAAAAAAAAACGTTCTAACAATCGATCCTGAAAATAAAGGGTTGGGTTGGGTTGTGAACGTTACTCACGTTCACCAACTTCATTATAACAACTCAATCTCACCGCTAGTAGATATTGTTTATTTTGGCCTGTTACATATCGTCTTCAACCTTATGGTTTTTAAAACGCGTTTTTGAGATAGAGGTTTCCACAAGAATGCTTCGTTTCCCTCCACCCCGAGTTTCTATAAGAATGCTTTGTTCCCCCCTGCAACCAATGTGGAATCTCACAATCCACCCTCTTGGAGGTTAGCGTTCTCGTTGACACATCGTCCGGTGACTGGCATTGATACAATTTATAACGGTTCAAGCCCACCATGAGTAAATATTGTCTGTTTTGGCTTGTTATGTATTATCGTCAGTCTCACGATTTCTCCAACTCAATTTGTATACACCCTCGGAAGGATGCCAAAGCTATCGGTATGAATCCAAAATTTAAATCTTAATATGAATTCGGGACATAAGTTTGGTAAGTAACAAAGTCGATAAATAAATAAATAAATATATTCATTATAAATATTGGTCCATCAAATTTAGATATATATATATAATGTTTTTGTTTTCATTTTTACCAAATATGCCCTCTCAAATAATAATAAAAGTCAACGACAACGTATAAAATGTTGTAATTCACCATAAATGGAAGATTTATCTATATATTACACAAACTTAGAAATTTTATTAATTTTCTTTCATTTTTATTTATTTATTTTTATTGATAAATTGTAATTTTTTTTAAAATAAGTAAACGGTCGGTCCGGGTATTCAAAAACCGATATCCAAAAAATCCAATAAACTCAACCCGAACCATCGTATGGGGTGGAAAATCCCTGTTCGAAAGTACAGTGGGATTGGTTGATTATCTTCTTCAGTTTAAGTCGTTTTACCGTTGAATGCTAATAGGATTGTTTGGATGAATTGTGTGTTGTCTCCGTGCATTCTCCGTAATTTCTGCTCTAATTCTTGCAAAAATAAATGGACAATTTCACGGGGATAGGGAATGAATAAAGGGGCGGGGATGGGATGTGAAAAGTTTCCGTATATGCACTCGTGGACATCTCTAACTGTATGGACGACACATACCTTGTAGCCCTTGTACATTTCGTATTTTTATTATCATATGTTATGCTATGAAATTATGTTATGATATGAATGTTAATGATGCTTGTACTTTCCATATATCACGTCACATGTATTTATGATATCATGTTTACACTACACTGATAATTCATGTATGTTAACCATAAGTGTACGTATGCATGTCTCGTAGAAACGCTATGTCATAAAAGGAATGAAAATATGATTTGAAAATATGGGACCTCAAGCAATTTGTATGTCACGAGAGTTGGAATATTTCCCCATTATAATTAGTATGTATGCATACATCATAATATTATACATGATTCTTTCCTTCTGTGGCGTATGACCGCCTGAGCTGTGTTAGCCTGTAGTCAAGCCCAGGAGATACATAGACATGTTGAACACAACTCTATTGTGTGAAACACTCACGTTCTTTATTAAAAATAATTAAAAAGAGATTTCAATACACTCAAACTACTTTACTTTAGAGCAGATGACAGACAATCTACACCAGGTTTATTCTTAAATTATGTAATTGTTTATTTCTAAAATAACTAGATATCTTTATTTTAATATCTAAATCTTTTTTTTTTCTAAAATATCTAGATATTTTTCCTAAAATGTTGAGAGAATGGTAATTATTGAGTTTGACTTATTGGTTTCGTGATGATCTCTTAACAATATGAGCCCACTTAATAAGTCCATGTGTGCATGCATGGGTCGTGTGTTTTAAGTATTGCACATTCAAACTTTTCCGAATGGGAAATTAGAGCCATAATAGGTCCAACCATAATTGCATTTACCGACTCCAATAGTGGAACTACTTATTGAGTATTTTTAAATATTCAAACTCGATCTTAAATGAACTGAATTATATTTATATAGACATCGTATATCATAAGTACAAAATTATTGATACTAAATTCAACCAAATTCACAATTGAACCAATATCATATATAAATAAAGTAATTATCATCAAGTACGCTTCTCCTTTTGATTGCCTAAACTCACTAAACAATTGAAAATAAAGCATAAAATTAAGAAAGACTGTTGGGGTGGATATTTGACAAATGCAAATAATAAGCTAGCTTAAATTAATGAATATATTTTCTATAAATGAAAAAGATGATCAAAGAGACGATGAAGATCAACCATTTTCCACACAAAAAAAATTATTGGTTGGACTCTGGTTTTGTGGTTCCATTGCCATTCTGCTGCACATGATGCTGCTGCTGAAGCTGGAGTCCATGGTGATTCATTGAAGGTTGAGCCATTACCCTGTTTGAGGGATGAGATTGCGAGTTTATCTCAGTCGTAGCGAGCTTCAATCGCTGAACCTCCGCAGTTAATGCTTCGTTTAGAGCTGTGTCACATTTGATATCAAATTAATTCCAGAAACGCATAAGCTCTAAACTATAAACTATATACTTTAACAGAGGAGTGACAGCATTGTTTCAGGGCTTTCCGTACGAAACAATTTTATTGATGAACAAAATGTACTAAGAAAGAGGTCAGTACTTAGTGTCACAGTCATGCTTATCCAAGGCGTGTTGCCTATGGCCCCATGCCGAAACCCTTGTGTCGTATCACTTTATTGCTTTCCTTTACCGCTAGAGCGCAATTATGACAGTTACCAAGTTTGGAAACGTGTTTCAATTAGACAAAATGAAGGACAATAGGCTTTGTTGTAATTATGGCATTGGTTTTGTTCTATTGGATTGTAGTTGTTGTTAAGTTACCGGGACTGCTAAGCAAAGTAGCACTGGTTGAGCAGAGATAAAAGAAGTGGGAGTAGCTTTCTTTGGGGTCCATCTTTGAGTATTGATTTTGCCTAAAGAGAGATTCCACAAAGAAAAACTTACTCTTCTCTGACAGAGAAAGATTCCTTCTAAGGAATAAGGATCTCTCTAAAGGAATAAGAAATCATCCAGCGAAGCCCAACCATCTTTAGAACTCCGAGCGGATTTTATAAATTAATAGAAGAAAGTTCTGTTTCTGAAGAATAACCAAAGAAGGGTAAAGGTTTAAGGGATCACCAAGTTGGCAACGCCTCTGTTCTTCCTAATATTCCGAATGAGAATTGTTTTAGGAAAGTCATATCAACCCCAAGAGTAGCAAACTACAATTTGAAAATTCAGGAGCTCTCTAATGGTTGCACTTTTTCTTCCCGCCTCTTTCGTGTTCGTCTACTTGGCAGGGACGGGTACCATAGCCAGATCTCTAATACGATGGAATCTACAGGAGTCACGTCTAGTATCCTTTTCTACAATTGTAAGGAGGGAGCTCCAACTTGAAGATAAATGATTGAAGATAAATGATAGAGATGCCCACAAAATTAGGGAGGAAGTACTGAGAAGAAACACTATACCCTTCCTTGGCATCAAAAAGGTTGAGGGTAAATTTCTATGGGAGTTCTATCAACTTGCATGGAAAGTGTAACATTATTGACTCACACTCACTGAGCATGTGACTTCCCACATTGGTTAGAGAGAAAACGAAACATTCAAGGGTGTGGAAACCTCTCCCTAGCAGACGGGTTTTCAAACCCTGAGGTTGACGGCGTTACGAAATGGGTCAAAGCAGACAATATTTGCTAGTGGTGTGATTGGACTGTTACAAATGGTATCAGACCCAGACACCGAACAGTATGCCAGCAAGGATGCTGTCCCCCAAGGGGGTTGGATCGTGAAATCCTATATTGGTTGGAGAGGGAAACAAAACATTTCTTATAAGGGTGTGGAAACGGGCCAAAACAGACAATATTTGTTAGTGGGCTCTACGTAAAACAATGAGTAACATTTCCCGATTATGTTCTCAAGAGAGATGAACTTTTACTGGAAAATTATAGTCTTTGAAAACTGCAGCCATGCCAGCAAGACGGATGCATGGTTCAATAGTGAAAGTACAAGACTAAATGAAGGGTTTCAAAGAACTAATTTAACAAATGCTAAATATATACAGAAAGTAGAGAAGCAGAGATGTAAAACCTTTCAACTAGGCATGGAAGCAAAGAAATTAAGAGAAAAAGTGTCAATACCATCCCGTAGTTGTGCTTGCTGTTCCATGGCCTGGAGACGAAACTTCAACTCATTGTTCTGGTTTGTAAGTCCAACAGAGTCTCGCTGAATAAAAAATAGTCACCGTAAAAACACGAAACTTCGGCACAGGAAAGTGGAAATAGAAAATAATTTTCATCACTCGAAACCTCTACCTGTAGAAGCGTGAGTTGAGCAGAGAGCGTGGTAGCTTCTGTTTGAAGAGTCTGAACCTTGTGCTCCAACTCAGATATATACCGCATCTTTCGTTCTTTCGATCGAGCAGCAGATTGACGGTTTGCCAAGATCCTGAAGTAAATCAGTACCTCAAGATTAATAACTAATGGATTAAATTGTTTCAGTAAACTAGTTGATGACATAATTTATACATATACCTCTTTGCACGCTTGGGGTCAGCTAGTGCAATCTCAGCAAGTTTGTCATTTGCCATAATTTTCTTCAGTTCAGCCCCACTGAACTCACCATTACCAAACTCCAAGCTGAATGGAGTTGAATTACCATCAGCTAGGTTGTTTGAAGAAAGTTGCCCTGGACGAACGCCAGGCGGTGTAGGAGGCATTTTGGGCGACTCGTCACCAAACTGCAACTTGTCCATAAAACTATCCATGGAGACACTCCGGTAATGTCGGGTAGTTGGAGCGATATCTACCCCTGCAGTCCGTTTGACCCCTTCCCTCTTCTCAGCAGAGGAATACAAGCCAGGCATTTGATTGTTATCCCCACTTTCATTTACACTACTTTCTGCTTCATTATCACTGCTGTCACCCCCCGTCTTCGTTCCGCTACCTCTACTATCCAAATCCTCTCGATTCTCATGACCATTCTTGTCATTGGTCCCTGTGGAATTGAACAAATCAATATTATCCAAATTCATATAAGCAGAGAACAAATCATCCACAGTGTCCCCTTCGGACTTCCTTTCACCCATTCCTTCCAAATTGTTGTCAGTGCTTTTCTCCAAACTAAGTTCTCTTTTAACAAACTGGCTCGCCGGCTTAAACACGCCGGCATTCTCTTTACTAGTTGTTGATCGCTCCAATCCGCCTGAGCCACTAAAAGGAAGAAGAGGAGATGACTGAATCATAGAAGAAAATCCAAATGGTATATCACTATTAGACCGCCTATGGGCCTTGCGAGGGGGTAAAGCATCTCCCATCTTAGAAGAGTTGGCCCTCATATAAGGTGAGGGAGGCAACAAAGAATGTGAACTGGCATCCCTGTCCTCCATTGATGTGTCTGCAGAAACCTGATCTGAATTCGATGTAGATGGAGAATCACGAAACGGGGACGGGCTTAAAGGAGGCAAAGAATCGAGAGAGAAAAAAGCAGGCTGAGATAACGATCGAGAATGAGTAGGAACTGGATGATAACTTTGCTGGTTCATCGGACGCGACATCGGGATCTGAGAGTACGGTGAAATTGGAGGGATCTGCGATGAGTTGGGAGAAGGCGGTATCCCGATTCTTCTATTATTATCTCCAAGAAAATTCGACTTAAAATGCTGTGGACGGCCTTGTGAGCAGTTCATTTGAGAAATTTTAAGTTGATCCATAGAGAAATGATGATTTACAGTAGCAGAGGAAGATGTTCCAAACGAACATTGAAGATTTCGTGCGTTATCAGTATGAGCATCTGCAGTATCACTCATTTCGCCTAAAACACGAACGTAACTCCGAATGATAATGCTCGAGTAAGAAAAAACCTAAATCGCCACTTCAAAAAACTACGCAAATTGAATTCCAATCATAAACACAAACAATGGCCCATTCAATCTGCAACACATTAAAACAAAGAAAATTTCACAAACTGAACCTAAACAATCACTGAAACAATTTAAACAGCTACAAAACGTTAAAAATTAAAGCAATGATTCTTCATTGACAATAATGGACATTTCGTGGCTGTAAGAAATACCTCCTAGCCAGTAGTAAGAAACTCAACCATGGCGTCTATGAAAGCCAGCCACGTTCAACCTAACAGCAAGGCTTCAGTTCTAATTCTCCACCATTTCTAGAAGAAGAAGCATTTCCGGTCAAAAACAGCGGCAGAGCTTTAAACTAATTTCCCGGCGGGAATCCCAAGAACACGCCGGCGATTTCTCTCTCTAAAACCACTCTCCTGCTAAGCCGATTTTCATAACGCGGACGCGTGTATTTAATAAGAATCTGCCTTTCATCCAAATTTGCATTTCCCCTTCATTTCAATTTCATTCCGACCTCATTTGTCTTTCTTTTTTCTTTTTTTCTTTTTTTTTTCTTTTTCTGATTACATGTCCGATAAGGTAACTTAGAATTTACAATTTATTTTTTTCAAATAGTAAAAATAATGGTTTTTTTTTTCTTTCCACGGTGGAATTTCCATTTATAATCATACAAAAATAAAAGAAATAACCAAACTGGAAAATTCATTATTTCGAAAAAGAAATAATTGATATTTGTTATTAAAAATATGGAAATTGTTTTAGTTTTTACTGGGTAAAAAGGTAAATTACTTTTTACCCCTAAATTGTAATTTAAATACTTGTAGTGTTTATGTTTTGTTAGGTTTTAGTTATACTTATCTTCTGTTAACATGTTCTAATAAATATATATATAAATAAAGGGCTAATTTAAATTAGACTTTATCAGTATAGGTTCGAATCTTAAAATTCCAATTTGAGTTTAACCACTAAATTTAAATAAATTTCATAAACAACTCGAATCAATCCAACCTAAAAAATTTATGGTGGGTTCGGTCCTATCATTGATGTTGGTTTAAAAAATATGTCAATCTTACTCGACCCAACCTAACCCACAAATACTCTATCAAAAGTCATTAATTTCAAACAAAAACCTAATCCAACATAAAAATTTTATAGTTAGGTTTGACTGTCCGATTGGAGTCAGTTGTTTAAACCTAACTCGATTCAACTCTACACATCAATTTCAAGTAAAAAAATTCAAACAAAAACCTAATAGAAGCTAAATTTTGCCATATTTGTCTCAAAAATAAATTAACCTAACTTTGTCGTAAAAATAATTTTGCCTAATTGTGTTGGGAGGGTATAATAAGTCTTTTTGCCATTTACAAAAGGATATCCCTATTCAACCCTTTAAAAAAATTAATAAATATTGAGATGAAAAGAAAAAAATAAATAAAAAATTAACTAAATAAGCCTTTATTAATTATTACGCAGTTATCATTTTTTTTTTAATTTTAAGTTCAAAATGTCGATCGAAGTCTTAATAAATATACAAAAGTATTTATTTGTGGAAATAATCTTTATTTTTAAAATTAGTTCGAGTCAAGTTAATAATATTATCAGACATATTTAAAATATACTAATTATTAAAATTTTATTATTTATTAAAATCTTTTTTTTATTGTTGTAATTTTCGATAAGGAGAGGATTTATTTATAATTTGAATTAATTATATTGTAAATATGGTAGCCATTTAATCCAAACTTAAATTTTTTTTTGAAAAATTCTTCTAATTTGTTTACGTCATGCTTCGCCCTAATCTAAAAATTACAAGTTTATAGAGTAACATCTCGGTTAAGAGTATAATCTTTTAGATTTTAATATATATCAACAAAACTTTCTAATATTTTTAATTTCATATATTAAGATAATTAGTTCATAATAGTTACATTTTCTAAAGAACTATCAAAACATGTTTTTTTTAAGCTTTATATAATTTTCTAATGTACTCCTTACTTTCAATATTTTATTATCTATATTTTAGATATATTTAATTCTTTTTTAAATTTGGGTAAGAGTTCAAAAATTTAGTTATGAAAAAAAAAATAATTAAAAAACAAAAATTAAACATTAAATTATTATTAAATGGAATATTAGTGTCTAAGTTAATATTTTCAAATAAAAACTATATTTGATTTTTTTTAAATAATTTATATTTTTCATGTATGCAAAATTAATGAGACTCTATAGCCTTCTTCTTCCAGAATTAAACTAATAAATATATAATAAAATAAATTAATGTTCATGATTTTGAACATTAATTTTAATGTAAATGATCGTAAAAAAACTATATAATAAAATAAATGAATATATATATATATATATATATATATGAATTAGTAAGGGAAAGGCATAGATTTATGAATGTTAGTCGCTTGCCATTAAAGTTAGCCCAAAAAATAATTCATATTATTTTATTAAATTTAATGGGAAAAAAATTGCTTGCACGTTTGACAAAAAAAAAAAAATCTGAAATTTATTTACATATATTAAAAAAAATGAAATTATTATAAATAAATAAATGAGTAAATATTAAATTAACTTTTTTTTTTGTATTTTATTACAACACGTTTTACGAGGAGCCCTTTGACTATTTTTTATTATTATTATTTTATTGTTTTTTTTATAATCCGTCCAAAAAAAATATAAATATAAATTAGAGTTATTCTAGTTTTTTTTTAATTTTTTAATACCATTTATTATAATTGCACTTCCCGGGCGAAGATTTGGTGATTGTGCGGCACTCACTCCCAATCTCAATTGAGTCAAGCCCACGTCGACTACGATTGGACAACGTATGCTCAAACCTCTGACCCCATTTTGAATTTAGTAAACGGTGCAGAGAGATTTTCAAAAGCAATTTGAGAGTAACGTTATATAACTATAAACAAAAAAAAAAACAACCAAACCGCTTAAATGGCTTATAACTTTTTAGACAAAAAGAACTCTTATTTCAATCTTCATTACTGCGAAACTCTCAATTTATTTTTACGAAAATTCAGGCCGGGATTCTTCGCAAGGATTGTGTTGACATGATAAGATATTTAAGGTAGCAAAAATCAAGTTTATATGATACGTTAATAATAATAATAATAATACACGCTCTTATTTGTTCGATCATAGTTCATGACTTAAGACATTAATTATCATATCTCTCGTCTTCCAATTATGAACTCTAAATAAATAATACACAGGGATATAAGATATTGTCTAAGCATAATTTAGTTAATTAAGACATTATTCTTCCACTAAATTTCCACGTGTTTTTTAATTAAGGTAATAATAATAATTGATTTTTTAATTAATTTTAAAATATCCATATATATATATATATATATATATATATAAAGAAAATCGAGATATGTGAACGCTATTTAAGAAAATATTTATTTTGTTTATGATATTAATAGAAAATGGGGCATCCACCACCCAACATAAGCACGTAAATGAATTATATTTATTCATTAAATATCAAATATGATTAATTATACATTGTATTATATTATATTATATAGTTTTATTTCTTATTTTGTGTATTAATTAAGATAAGTGGGAACCAAATGTCGTGCCCAATTTACCTAACAGGGAGACCAACAGATTTAGCCAAACACGTTTGCCTGTCTTCTTTCCATATCCCTTCCTTTTCAATTTACCATTTTTTTTTTAGATTTAAATTCTTTTATAAATAATATAAAAATGGGATGATTTAGATTAAAATATTATTTTGGTTGTTTAATTAGTTTCATTTTAAATAAATCTTAAAATTATTCTTATTCTAAATTTTTTAATAATAATAATAATTTTTATGTGACAAATGCTAATGCTAATAATATATTATTATTTCGAGTTATTTAGGGTGGTAGTCCAAGTAATTCAAAATTGTTTCACAGTCTAACCTAATCCAACTCTCTATTTTTCGATCGGATCAGGTCGGGGGATTATGCAACTGTGTCACTGCGACTGCGAGCGAGCGTGGGCGTCTGTGAGATGTCTGCGGGGTGCCTTGAGGGCGAGCGTCGAACGAATAGTCTTCGATTTGTTGAGCGCTACGACAAGGGGCGACTGTGGCTAGTATCTGCATCTCTGCAAGGGCTAAGGAATTTGTTGAGCGTGAGTGAGAGTGCAGAGTGCAAGGGCCGAGTAATACATGTTATATATATAATAAGTACTAACTCAGTTCGAGAGAATTAACCTAACCCAACCCTCGTGATTCGAGTTCGATTGGGTTGGTCCAATTTTCCAAGTTTTCAAAACTCAATGTATAACCTCAACCGTAAACTTTACCCATGCATGTATGACAAGTAATATGAATGATTATTGGTCAAAGGTTTAATTTCTGTCTTTGTTTTTGGTCGGATTACTAATATTTAAAAATAAAAATTATTGTTTTTTTTGTTATTTAATTTAAAAATAATTTCTCTCTCTTCGCAACCAAACTCCAAAGTCAAACGTTTTCTCTCTCTACCAAACTATTTTGTTATTTTATCGGTTACCCAATTATTCCCTTTCTTTAATTTGTGTCAGAATTTTTGGATATTTTCTTCAATATATTTTTTAATTAATGTAAATACAAATTCAATAAATTTCCCTCCTTAAATATAATAATATTAAATAAAATAAAATAAAATTGATAATATCCAAATTTTTGTATTTTCGGTCAAGATTTGAAATTCATATTTGATGTCCCGACACACGTTTGCTACATGATCATATTACCTATTTGTCGGTTGTAAGAGTAAAGACTACTCTAACAGAACCAACACGAGATCTTTGACACGTTTTGTTGATGGGTGTTCGTGAGTCGGGTTTAAACATTTTTAACTCAACTTAATTAATTGGGTCGTGAATTTTTTCAACCTAAACAATGCTCGATAAATAATGAACTCAATCCAACTCAACAATGTTTTGAATGGAGTTGGTTCCGTCATTTATTTAAATTTTTATTAGTTCGCAAAATATTTATGGGTTTATTTTAAATACTTAACCAAATATAACTAATTAAAAATGATAGTAATCAAATTTAAAGTTTAATTGAAATTTTGATTTGAAACTCCGAAGGGTACGCGATGCTGTCCACGTGGGAAGACTGGACCGTCGATTTCACTATCACGTGAGCCCGAACCGAATGGGGCAATAAGAGCACGTGATGAGAGATGTTAGGACACGTGGCAAGCTCTAAGCGGTTCGAGAGAGGAAAAAAAAAAAAGCAAAAACTTTATCTTTTTGCTTTTTGCTTTTTTTTAATTAAAAAAGAAAAAAAACTTATCCAGTCTCAATAAAGGGTAATGGGCCATACGATAATAATAAGGGAGGGCCCATTAATGTTTTGACAATAAATGTCCTTTTTTGTCATTTTCCTTATTATATATTATATAATTTAATTATTTTTTTTATAATAAAAAGAAATAATAGTACTTTAAATATGTACATCCAATTAATTTGAAACGTCTTATTTCCAACTTCAAATCCTTAATGATTTGATAGTTCATGGATATTATAATTTGTTCGATTTTTTAAAATATTTTTTATAAAAATTATAAGTTCAGTGTTTATTTAAAATTATTATAACAGAAGTGATTAATTCTAAAAGTGGAAGACGAGATAATTTCGAAATTCATAATTTTCAAAAGGGAAGAAGGAGAACTTTGACTTGGGAGATACCATTTTCTCTCACGGCTCTTCATGTACTATAGAGAAAAGGGTTAGAAGCCAGAGTCGGTCTTAATTGGAGTTTAGAAAAGGAAACGAGTTGTGGTGTAGAGACACAATATTAGTGACTCCGACTCGAAAGAAAGTTAAGGCACGTAAAGGTAGAAATATATTCGATGAGGGACCTCAAACCGTGAAGTCGAGACACAAAGAGCTAAATCACACCATGAAAACCAAGAATAATAATAATAATAATAATAATTAATCCAATGAGGAATTTAGGGGAATTCCGCAGTTTATGGCTTCCATTACCAAATTAATTCAATTCCTCTTCTCCACGCCTTTGACCATATTGTAATTTAAAAGAAAAGGAAGATTCTCGCTTACTTTGAGATGTCTATGAGGTAGAGAAAATTCTTTTCGAGTCTGGATCGATCAAGAGTATTAGGGGTCTCATCCTCTAACCATCTCTCACGATTCTACTGTGCTCGAACTAATGGAGGTATTTTATACTAGGTTACAATCTAGCCAAATTGACGCTCTCACCGTAGTTTTAAAGTGTCTCGGTCGCTATTCTAAGGTAATGTACTAAGTTTGTGTAATAGTTTCAACATTTTGGGCTTTCTTAATGGGCTTGTCTAGCTGCTCTTTGTCTCCAATTTCATTTTTATGTTATAATATATTATTCGATACTTCAAAAATTCAATTAATTTTGTCTCTTAGAGATCCAAAGAAAAAAATGTATAAATTATCACACTTGCTTTTTCATATATATTTTCATAGAAGTCGTACCTTTCGCTAACTAAATCCCGAGTTAACAATAAATTATATTTCACGAATCGTATTTAGCGATCAAAATTACGAGATTAGTTTCAAAACATAAAAAGTAATATTCTCGTGACAATATAGTGTGATTTGGAAGGTAGTTTATGCACATTATTGATTAGAACATAAATACTATGAGCCAATCTCCAAAAAGGCAAAATTTGGTGGAAAAGCGTACACCAAAAAAATCCATTTTGGAGTTGTCTATGAAAATTTAGTCATTTATGTTAATGACTCGAATCAAAATGTAAGTAGTGGCCAAGTTGTTTGGTCACTATAAAAGTTGTTTGATAACAATATTCCTATTTCCTATTTATACTTTTTTTTTTTTTTTTTTTTTTTTTTTAAA